TGTCCCAGGAGAGTCTGACACAAGATGTTGTCGTCTCAATTAATAGATTATATCTGTGCTCGGTTTACCTGATAAGATTTTCACTCGCCATGTTGATAGCCAATTGTCCTATCGGATGAAGATCAGCGTTTTATGTTGGGGGCATCTTGGTTTTGGCACCAAGTCGGATAATAAAACCGTCAACTTGTCGGCTATAATGACGTTATAGGAGTCGTGTAAACACGTTTTGTATCATCAATAGTGCAGCTAATTTAATTGATGTTTTTATCTCAATCCAGTTGAAGATTTAATTATATTACAATCCAGTTCATTCCTCCCTAGAAAGAAAACTGCAGTCGGTTTTATGACAGGCAATGGTTCATCTTTCCTGCCAGTTCTGTCAGAAGAATTTTATCAATATGACTAGGTTCTTTATCCCGTTTTAATCATTACATCAGGGTTTGCTTATCTAATCTTCCATAATGCCGCTTCAAATAATTCAACATAATTATTGTGATTAACAAATTTTCAACTTTTAAAAATCTTGTTTCAGTAAAACATGACGTCAAATATTAACAAGGTCGGTGCTCTCTTTTGCCACCTTGCGCAAAGACTGATCACACAAAAGCAGAATTCGTCAGCATCATCTGACGACGTGCTGACTTTGCACACCCAGGACACAGGTTGTGCCCTTTATATTAAGGATGGACGGAAAAGAATGAATATTATAATTCAGAATAGTTTTTGGGATCTGCCATGCCAGGTAATCTTTTCCAGGAAGTGAATCGAGAGAAAGACAGCACAGAGCATGTCGAAAGCAGATGTTCTTACGTTCGATAAGGATTCTAGTTCGGAAAATGCTTGGAGTGAGGATTGAACCTGAAATAGAAATTTACCCCTGTATACATTTAGCATTAATTATTAATTAAGGTAGCTTATGTTTAGAAGAATCTGTCTGGCATGGACCATTCGAAACTCTTGTGCCCACAGGGCTCAATATTTGGGGTGTCCTGTGGGGCTTATGCAGACAATTTGTCTGGTATTCGGTATTATATATTTGTTATAGTCTAATTGTTCATCTTAGCTTTGTTTCACGTGGTACCTCCAATGTTAAATCTAGCCCAAATGTGGGGGCGGGGGTGACTTGGACAGAAGTAAATTTTTCTGGCAGATCCTGTTCTGCTCTTATTGAAATGTGGTATCCCCAATTTTTGATCCAGTCCATTTCCAACACAATGTCCACGGGGCCCAACTTTGCGGGTGTCTAGCGGGGTTTATTAAGATTTTTTCAAGTGATACCTCCAATGTTTCATCTAACCCTAACCCATCTGGGGGTCTTGTGCAAAGGAAAATATGTCGGATAGGGCATGTTCTTACTCACTGAGATGTACCTGTTCATGTCAAGTTGGTTCCATATGGTATCCCCAATGATTGTCAAGCTCATTTCCAACACACACACACACTTTTGGGATGTCTGGCTCGGCTTTTACAGCAGACAATTTGTCTGCCATAGGGTATTTTACACTCAATGGAGCTTGTTTCATGTGATACCCCCATTGTTTAGTCTAGCCAAAAATTTGGGACCCTTGTGGGGGAGGGGAGAGTTGTCTTATGCAGAGGACAGTTTATCTGGCCGAGCCTGATATGTACTCAATCAGGTGTTCCGTTTAATTTCAAGTTGGTTCCATGTTGTATTCCCCAGTGTTTGTCAAGCTCATTCCCAACACAATGTCCGAGGGGCCCAACATTTGGGGGTGTCTGACGGGGCTTTTACAGCAGACGCTTTGTCTGACTTTGGGTATTTTATACTCAGTAGAGTTTAATTGTTCATTCATTTTAACTTTGTTTCATCTGGTGCCTCCAATGTTTAATCTAGTCCAAAATGTGGGACCCTTGTTGGGCGTCGGGGGGGGGGGGGGCTTATGCAGAGGGAAATCTGTCTGGCAGGGCCTGTTTGTACCCAATGATGTGTACCTATTCATTTCAATCCCCAATGTTTGATATAGTCCATTTTTTAGCTCCCTCTTTGGGTTCTTCAAAGGCACAGACCGCCATTAATTTCCCCCATTGTCATTAATGTTAATTCTGGTCTGTTTGCCCCGCACCAACTTTTCCTACGTTGGGTTGAGTGCTTTTTTCCTACAGACCGAGCAAAAGTTGGCCACGTGTTTGCTTCAAAGTTTGTATGGGGTTGACCACTAAAAGTTATAGATACACAAACTTGAAGTAGCATACTATAAACATCGAGAGAACTAGTATTGGAAGGGAACTGTGGAGTAGTGTCAATGTTTTCTAATCGTCTTCCTAACGCCTTCACACCCACGCGATTAAATCAACAAATCTGCGAAATGATTTCACTAATTTCTGCATTTGTTACGACGATTGATACTTAGTTTCTTTGCCAGTAAAATTGTCACAGAAAATTGGCCACATTTGGTGATCTACATGATCAGACCGGTCATCTCACAGACAGTTTATTAAATAAATATAGCAGAGAAAGTGTTCCAAATATTTTCATTCACACGAAAATAGCTTTCATTGCTAACGTCAAATGTCAAATAAAATGTGTTCATGTAAATTCAGTTAAAATCTCACTCAAATTTCGAGTCGTTAAAAATGCGGTTTTAGTTTTTCAAAAAACATCTGCCATAGAATGTCTAAATGTAGATTTAAATTTACAATTTCTATTGCATTATTACCACTGTTTTACTTTATTTTCGACTTAACTCCATCTATATAGATGGTCATTCTAACATTTTAAAAAATTATGCTAATGGACGGTAAATTGAAAATTAAAATATTCTACCGAGTTTTAAGTGTATGATAACTACCTCATTATTCTCTGATGGTAGTTAATTAATGTTTGTATGGGTGTAAAATATCACTGATGAACTGACTCAAGTTGTTTACATACATTATATCACTACAATAAACACGATTTTTATACTTGACGAAAATTCTCAGAACGAATACCTAAAATAAGTTAGGTTCCAGGTAATTTTCAAGTTGTTTAAATGGAGCCATATTTAATTTGTCCACTTAACCAAGTGTGTTACCTTAAATCGGTAAAACTTAATTCTACACTTATGGAATGCCCGCAAACGCCAAAAAACATGAATTTCTAACGTATGGAATACCGTCCGCTGTCAAAGATTACGAATTTTAAACTTTGGAGGCAAGTTAAGTCACCTTAAGAGCAGCAGTTCTCTATCAAAATAATAGTTGTCACTGCTACGGAAATGTTAGTCGAAAATGTTATGACTATAAATGATCCTTTGCTGGAACAGTTGTTTTGGTAGGCGTTTTTTTTGTGTTTGTTTTTTTTTAATTTCATTTTTAATAGATTTCAATTGCAGTTATCGAATAGTGACAGTATAATGTTGCATATTGTAAACTTTATTATTTTAACAATGTGTAACAAGTAGAAACAACATCTTCTTCTTGCCAGTACGCAAGGCCTTTACATTTTAAGTTAGACTGAACAATAATTCAATGTTGTTTGTCAATCTAATATTTGTGAAATTCATAGAAATGCTGTGAGTGCCTGAACTTTAGACCTAAACTAAATAAGGACGAAATATGCACATGACATTATTTTCTACTCCTGGCTATTAATACGCAGGTCACAATTATATGCAATATGATTACAGCTTATTACTGAGCGACGCTTCGACTAGATTTCTCTAGTATTTATCAACGTTGTTCCCCAAGGTCATATATCAGATTTTATAAAACATGGATAAAACATGGATATCAATCACACGACAATGATTTTGGATAGGAATTTGGATAGGAAGGGAGCAGGGATGTACTGAGAGTGTGAAGGGGCCTGCGAATATGGTAGGCTCTAGGACCCCTAAAACAAATTCTTGTTTTCAGTTCCACATAGTTTGTTGAAGTATTTTTAGTTTTGGGGCCCTTATAGTCTTGAATTTACGTCTTTTTAAATGAATTTGTAAGATTGGCACACATTAAAGTTGTGAATAAGCTGTATACTGTAGAAAGAACCATTTACAATCATTCTTTTCAAAAATTTATCTCGTCCCGAATTCAGGGACCAAACGGTTAAGTGACGCGGTGCGATCACAATCGTGTTATACGTGAAGAGGCGTAGGATCGCTTGCCCAACCTAGTTGGTTTTCCACAGGTCCCCCGGTTCCCTCCCACTGCTAAAGACCCCTACGCGCAAGCAAATCATATGATAGTCCAGAAATGACCTAGTTTATTTTAAGTGGACGTCTCTCTCTCTCATATTCATTTATATTCTCTTCAAAAAATAAATGACTTACGAAATCGTTTTTGTATGTCTAAAGCGGAAAACGTTTTTATAGGTTTACATAATAGTAATGCTATATTAATGTAATTATGAAATCAGATCTCTTCTGCCGTAGCAATAGCAGCCCCACTGCCGTCACAGCTATATACGGATATTCCAAAAAATGAAGACGTGTAATATGAATATCAGAATGACAGATACCGGGACTGAATTCAAATAGACCCGTTTTAATTAATTCTGAACACGGTGTTGTCATAACGCGGTTTCAAATCATGAAATTTCGAATGAGTTTTAAAGTGATTTTCTACGGGTGGTAATTTCCATATTGGAAAATGTAATGAAATATGACTGAAAGCTGAATGAGAGCTAATCATCAATATATCAACAAAATATCAGAAACGCGCGCATGTGTGACTGTTCATGTTCTATTACGGAAGTGAGGCTAATGATTGTATCGATGGTTATAATTGGTTGATATAACGATTTCGTGTATGCGTTACGCCTGTCTTGACTTTAGTTTCGAAATTTCCGATTTAAATTCAAAGCATTTGACATGTTACCATGTAGGTATTGTTGGGATTACAAGAGCGTTGAAATACGTCAGATAATTATTTACTAGGACAATCACGCATCGGGGCTAATTAATTTGATGACAGCAAAACACTAATCAATACAACCACTTTATTGTGTCAATAATAACTATATAAACTTACAAAACATTTTAAAATTAGAATCAAAGAGGTTTTTATAGCAAATAAATTCAGTTTTTAAAGCATATGTTGGTTATTTTTTTATGTTGAGAAGGACAATTTTAAACATGAGATATATCCTGTATAAAGTTATATTTGGAATTCATTTATGAACACGAATAAAATAATACAATGAAAGATATTTACAAATGAACGGATGGTAAAGTTGACTTCTTTGTACTATTCTACAAAAACCTTTACGTCGCTAGTGAAAAAAGAAGAATACTATAATATATATTTTCCCGACAGCCTAAATACTTAAACACTGATTGGAAAATATATTGAAAATATCGAGACAAATATATCTGTGTTACTAAAAACATCATATCTTGCAAGCTATGAATGAAAAATTCTATTCAATCTTAGATCTAAAAATACCGTCATTACATGTATAACCGTCACTTAATCATTGCCGAAGTTCATTTCAACGAACCGTTAACAGGCAATTTGGCGATTGATATTTTGATATTCTGAGTTTAATAATCTCTTTTAGTTTATAATTTTATTTTTCTGGATTATAAGAAATATCATAGTTTTAGGTAACAATGTTTCACTAGAGAACCTAATTCACTTTGAGGGAATGTATCTTTAATATAATAATACACACTTTACGTATAGCATCCTCTCTTTGATTTGGGTCGACATTTCCATGGAGTACCAGTTTGAATACCTCAGTGGGAGACAAGCCAAATGTACACAATTCGGAATCATATGGGGTGAACGACGTTGTGAGAAAGGGGTATGCAAATGGGAATTCCCTTTATCAACAGTTCAGCAGTTAAACTCTTTCTACGGTCGTTTAAAAAAAAATAAAACCCCAAAAGCATTAAGAAAATATTGTCTTTATAAATCACCTTTCCAGTTGGCTTGAATATCTTGTCTTACCAATATCAGACACAGCCATATTTAAAGACAGGTCCAGGACAGAGAGGCTTGTCTACGACATCACCCTTGGTGGAAGTGGACGTAAAACCTTAGAAACTAACGAACGAACAGAGGGGTCGATTGTTGAAACAACTAAATGTTAAGGAACTTGAGGCTTCATTCTTTGGTTTAAGTAAAAGTCAAAGTTTCACTGACATGTGATGATATAGTGTATATAAACTACACAATATAAACACAAAATGGCACATAAATTATATCAGCTCATATAACAAAAAAGATGTATCTGGAATTATTAGCAAAATAAGAAACAAAAAACAATTTAATATTTATTTGCTGAAGCTTAAAAGTTAAATATATCATAAATAAGCGAGAGAAAAAAAAACGAATCCCAAGCAGCGGTAATTCTTGTGGAATCAGTGATATATGGTAATCGAAGACGAAAATGCATGGACTCAAATTAAACCCGCCCATCAATAAATAGCACTAAATTTAATTATATATACTCCGAGTATGTCAACTTGTATTTTCAGATACAGTAACTAAAGAGTCTTTGTCACTTGGTGTTTCACTAGAACAACTTTGTTCTGTTGTAGCACTGTCTTCTTTGGGATCTTGGATAGGCATTATCTTTGCTGAATATTCTTGAGCACGAGCTCGTAATGCTGCAATACTCTCAGATCTAAAATCACTCTGATTCACTCCTTCCACGTCAGTCCTATCTCTGACATCCTCAGGTAATGGTGGTGAAGAATCGACCGACTTCCTGTACATACCTAATAATAATAAAAGATTAAAATTAGCTCATTTGACATAATTATTTCTGATGCAATGAGGGCATTAAAAAGAATGGTACTGATCATCAACAAGTAAAGCTTTATTATGGAAAGGGTGGTCATTGTTTGTTTGTTTGGAACGGCGGGTGCATTTTTTAGCTTTTGGAATATAGATGCGCACAAATTACTGGTCAAAATATTTATCAGAAGATGTTAGTAGTTATACTTACTGAGCAACCATGGGGCTGTGGAATCCAAAACCCCTTCTTTAGCGCTTTTTAGAATAGTTTCTGGTAATGGTAAAGAATGGCGAACCATAGCACCATATAAACCATATTCCGCCATAATACTACTTCTTCCCCAAGTTTTCTCCGTCTTGCGCCATTTAGCTCGACGATTTTGAAACCAAACCTGGAAATAAGTAATTTATAGAATGAACATATTGTATAGGATTTGAGAGGAACAAGAATATTTGAATGTTAATAAGGCATTATCCACACGCTGTCTGAATTTAATATCTTCAGATACCAGTAATTATAGTAACAAAGGGTTTCCAGAAACGGATAACAACACTGTTTCTCCAGTGGATAGAAGTATTAAGAGAAAAATCGGCAGAAGTTTCGTGTTTTTTGTCGCATGCATAAACAGCTGTAAACCAAATAAACCTAAGCATGAACTACAACTACCCCCAAATCAGTCCTCATCGCAGACGGTAGATGCAGATAAAACTGAGATAACGAGGCTGCGGTAAGCTGTGCGTGTGATCAGTAGCTCTATCGAAGAATAGCTGAAAGCTACAAACCCCTTTACAGATGACTGGTACTGTGATGGACGGGTCGGAGGGATGGGGGTGCTGCGAACTGAAATGAAAATCCACCGGTGAACCGTCTCTTACCTAAAAACGGTAGATCCTAGAGTTTTGTAAGATGGACATTATAGGGAAAGCTACTTATCGTTTAGACATGTCCTCATAATTCTAGCATGATGTTCTAAGGAATGAGATCAGTTGGACTATTGCTTAAAATGAAGGCAGTGAGATGTTTGAGAGTGGGAGCCAACCATTGAAACAATCCTGACATTTCGCTTCCATTTGACAAGATACCACGCTACACCAATCTTACAGATCAATCAGAGAAATAAGAATTTTATGAAAACCCCGATATTGTACCAATTAAGGTTCCATAGACAAATATTACCCTAGTTATGACGGTCATCAAGACTAAATCTGAGTTCCATAAGCAGCTGAGCGACAGAGTAATTTGGGGAACAATCTTCGAACCGTTAAAACCTATTAGGTGGCACGGATTTCTCCAGGCAGGTCAACCCCCAAATAGACCACATCACTACACGTGGACCCACAGAGGCATGTACTTGTGGCAGATAAGCTGTGATCTACAAAGCTACAAAAACACGAGGAGTTGCAGGGAACAATTGGTCTGATGCTACTCTGTTCAATAACCAGAACTGCCTGCATAAACCAAATAGTAAATATGGTGGCAAAGTCACAGATAAACTGGGGTGTCTCCTACCACGAATAATCTTTTCATTGGTAACGAATCGGTTTACGAAAACATCAACAGAAGTTATTTGATTAATACAGTGAACATCCACGAAAGCTAGAAGTCTAATATGGCGTGCGTTTGTCAAGATCCTACACATGTACAAGCGGTGGTCCATGCTCAATTATCTAGGTAACATCGTCAAGTATAAAGCACGTTATCTAATCTCTTCTATATTGGCATCTTCTATTGTACTTAATCAAAGTTTCAAATTCCATTATAATAAAGATCAGAAAAAAGATAAAAGTCTTACGAATAGATTGACCTAATTCACGTCATTGGAGTCGATATCAATTTTCTAAAACAACGTCTACCACACGCACGCACAGTTCTGCGCATGAATGCGAAACAGTTCACATTATCTTGATGCACAGTAAAAGTATAGATAAAGAGTTTTTGAACGTCGAGATAGCGTCGTTTACATGCTTTTCTACTCTAAGAAATCAAAACGACAAAGATCTAGCGTGCAGCCATAACCAGTGCGAATCACTGAATCGTCAGCAAATTATAGCGCATTAAACAATTAGAGTCCGTTTGTAGCCTTACGATAAGATCTGCACGCAATCTTTCAACCTTCGTACATGTACATAGTTAGTCTTTGGAAACAGTAAGCCAGGGTTGATATAAACTATATAATTACGTTATTATCATTAAAGTCACGATGAACACCTAAGTGCCATTTTTGTTCACTATCATTTCAAATTGCTCAATGATAAGGCTACCAGACAATGGTACCCTGAGCTTAATTTTACAACAAAGGTTCAGATCTAATCGTGGCTGTAGGTCGAATAGCTCTACTCTGAAACGAAAAAAAATTGCATATTGCACATCCAGTAGCTACTGCGATTGTATTTTGATATGGCTTATTTTAGCTTTAAGATCATATTGATTTGTATTTAAATGTACCATTTTATTATGATTCCCGAACTTATTTATTTTAGATCTTCCAAAATCGTACGCATTGACAATCTAAATGGTTTAGTGGGAACAGAAGATGTGAGATTTGAAAACAATGGTTTATTTCCAGTTATGTCCAAATCAAAGCCGTTATATTTCTTTTTCTGGAATTGTTCAAATATTGTAGATCAGTAGGTTTGGATGACAGTGGCTTTGACCCCTTCTTCGGATAATATTTGAATCAGTTATCACATAATTTATGCTTTAATACTTCAAACTTTGTATTTAGTCAAACTGTGTAACCTGCTCACCCAACTGGTATCAATCCCCAGAAGAGTTAAGATAGTTCTAATCTGAGTTCTTATGTCTATGATCAGTACTGATGCTTTTAATAAACAGTGCCCCTATTTTACAGTAAAACATGATTTTAATGATACAACAATACATTGCGTGTATAATAATAGATACTTGTAGATAATGTGCATAAAATAAGACTCTTTTTTACTATCTGTAAATGAATTCGATGGGGTGGTGATTTGTTTCCCCTTCCCATAGAAAATGTTCAAATATTTTTAGCATTTGAATTCAATTGTATATTATTTGTTCTGATGAGTAATAGCTGCTGCGATTTAATTGACCAACAAACCGCTGGCAATTTTGCTGGCTTTATCTGCAACACCAGGAGGCCACTTTCAAAAATATAGCCCAAGGTTCTGATGCAAGTATATGAAATGAAATGAAATGGGGTTTAACGTCCTACTGTTATGTTCCGACTGGGTTAATGAAGACGGAAGGTTCTGATGCGCTTGGTGGTATAGAAATTTTAAAAATATGTAACGAACATATTGTTATCAGTATTATTGATTGCCATCTATACCTCTACATTATAGTTAGTTGTAAACATTTAGCAGCTGTAGATTGAATCCTAATATAAATAATGTTTCCTTAAACATAAATATCAATAAACTAAATTTGATTAACTTACGTAAGCCTGTCTAGAGAATTGTTGAGTCCATGGATGTCTAGTGTACCTTAGCAGGGATAGAGAATTATTTTGTTTTATGAACATAATTATTCTTTCATCTATTTTAAGCAATACATAATGTGCTCTTCTTAAATCATATTTCATTAAGTAATCATGTTCTCGATAACAGTCTAGATAGCAGGTATGGGGGAAGGGGGGGGGGGGGTGATACGTATTAAGCTCAAGATGCGTAATTATGAAAAGATACGTCTACACACATGTCGGCTGTTTTTGTTTCTGCTTTTGAATTCAACTTAAAATAGACGGAAATAATGGAATTAATGGCTTTCTATATAATATTATGAAATATTTAAATTCCACTTTCCATTTGAGGCTTTTTATTCGTTTCAATTTCTATCATTTTGCTCCCCGTGGGCATCAGATAGTGTATCATTAGACAGATATGTAACAATATATACAAAAGACCGTATACTATAGAAACAGCGTAAAATGATAGGAAAATAACTAATTTAAAAGTGGTATATAAAAGTAATAATAGCTTGTCATACCCATCGTGAACCTAACACTCTACAGGATACTAAAATCACTGAGAACTAATCTAGTAGCAAATAAAAACGACGTTAATATCTAAATTGATTGGTTAGTGTATACGTCTAATTCCCAATTTGTATGTTAATTTCATCAAATCACTTTTTATTAATTGAAAGCAATTTTGCAAACCTGTTATCAATTTTCGTAATAACCACTTTATTATTGATATGCTCGACAATAAATGGGAACAAAGGTTTAAACGCGCGTTACGATAATGGGCAAAGCAATAAGCTGAAATGAATTACCTATTAAGTCAATAGAGTGTCGGACGGGGATCGTACGAGCGAGACGGGATTGCAATAAGTTAACACTCATTTAATTGGATTTCATTGCCCAGCCCCAGGCGGCCGCTGCCACTACCCACCAAGGGACTTCAAATTTTGTGTCTTATTTTTTGGTTGAATTCCTTTTACCAGATTTGTTAAGCGCGTGCGAGCGCCATGTTCAATCTAGCGAGCTTGCCGAATTCCGGAACAATCTGAATAGAAATCCAATGAATATAAAACATTTAATCATGTCTGTTTAGATCTACCATATACAGCAGTGCCTTTCTCTCTCGTTTACAAACAAACAATCCTGTTGGCTACATTTTCTAAATGAAAACATAAAAGGGCAAGTATTTCAATTTTAGTCGGGTTTCACTTTCCAAAATAGGAAGTACTTTTCCCATCCGACGAGGGAAAAAATAGGCAAACAACACGAAAGCTAAGAAACGCCAGTTCATGTTTGAAAATTTGAAATGACATTGAGACGACATCGTTCTCAACACATTTGGAACACATCGTATTGCACCAGCTTCGACCCCAGCGCGACATCGGCACTCTTCTTAAATAAAATAAATTTTTAAATTAAATATATAACGTAAACAAGATAGACACGAAATGCTACTGCGACTTTGTTCCTTTTTTATACGTAAATGTGCATATTGATAATTTCCATCCATTTTAAAAAAGGAAATACTTAATTCGCTACCATTGCATTATAATTATCATGTATAAACCATCTAGAATTTAACTTTTGAGAAAAGCTTTATTTATTATTTTCTTGGATACATATTCCCAATACGTACATGATATTTATCTCTTTTCGAAACAAATAAAAAACAAAACACACCTGATTTTCCGTATCGTGCCAAACTATTTCCATGATCAGGCAATAACCGTTAAAGGAGATAAGAGCGCTGATGTTATTTTTAATGATAAACTAGACAGCTAGACTACTTTGTTTAATTGGTTATATGTTAAACAAGACATTTAAATTAACGTAACTCATTAATAACGTATGAAATCACAACCACTTTTTTTTCAAAACTAAAGTGATCGTTGATTAACTACACTGCGATTGCGCAGTTTCTGATTGAACGCTATTTGAAATGGGTAATGCCTGTACATGTAATATAGCGTATGTTCTCTAATAGAGATAGGGGTTTGAAAAACTAAAAAATGCTTTCCATGTAAAAACTGGTCATGCGTGGACAGGAGTAAATAATTGAGATGAGGTACCTGGTCGCAAGGGAATAAACGACTGAATGTTATTGTCAGTTCTGGCATTGTCTCCTTATCCAAATTGATTGAACGGAATATTTGCGTTGTGCATCACCATTTCAATTCATGGGACAATTGTACATTGAATGTGTTTAATACGATCGGAGAATCACTGGCTTAGGTAAACAACTAGGTAATTACGATGTTTTAGCGAGATAACGAAACTTCACTAACTAATTGGGTGATTGTGGCGTTTTCCCAATGATATTGCTCTATACTGTGTTATTAGATTGAATATAACTGTGGTATATTCAGGTTTTAATTTGTACACCTTTTCCCTTAAGTACAATTAAATTCCCTCTTCTATATACTAATAAAAAGCTAATCTATATCCCAGTTTATTGTTAATGTGCTTTAACGGCTAATGAAGTTTTTCCTTTTCGATATTCTGTAGCCTATTGTTAATGACTTCGGTTCATTTTATGTAATAGTGCCGAACTTCGAGACATACATTATTATTATCTAATGGTTAGAAATACTTTTCAAATTTATGTCTTTTGTGCGTTGCTTATTATTAAGTAAAAATAATATACTAAATTTTCCGAATATAAACGTTTGTTCTTTGTTAATTGATTTCATTTGTGCGAAATAGGGAGGAAGTTTGAAATTGCTTTCGTCATCATCTGTTTTCAAAACTGTTTTACGACAGGAAAATCACAAAGGAACTCTAAGAAAGTTATCTAAGAAAGTTACTGGGTGCATTCTTGATGCCCACAAAAAGGAGAAGAAAAGACAAAGACATCACAATTGGGGAAGTCTCTAGATGCTATTTTAATAGTCTCCAAATCATTTTAACATTAGCCAAAATCTGGTGATAAAGGCTTCTTCCAACAAGATTAGGATAACTTTGCAGTATTTTGACCCTTAAATATTCAGGATCCAGAAAAGGTGTTCCTCTCATTTTTATCTGGTTGGTGGCAGGCTGGCTTATATAAATTGAGAGGCCGGGAACTAATATATGTTAGACTGCACCATGCATTGTCTTTGGTAGCTATAAATTTGGCAACGCCAAAGCTGATCTAGTTTCTTTATTTTGGATCGAGAGCACAACAGCAATCGAAGAAACATAGTCTTCATTTTATTTTGTCTTGAAATTCAACATTTAGCTGTTCGTTTACCCATTGATATAATTTTGTTCACATTGCGGATAAACACTTCGAGGTTAACTTGCAAAACCAGTGAATAATTTTCTATGGTGACATAGCGGCAATACAACTAACCTGAATCCGGTCTTCTGGTAAACCGGTTTTTATAGATAACATGTCACGTGTCTGTACATCCGGGTAATGAGCATCTTTAAAAGATTTCTCCAATTCGTCCAGTTGGTATGACGTAAAAATCGTTCTGTAAAACAAAATCAAAATAAACCAGGATTGAATAGCTGTAAAAGATATAGGGTTGAATGCCTACATTCTACATTCAACCATTGAAATGTTTAGGTCCATAGATTGAAATTCAGATATGACATGATCCATTTTTGTTTTAAAATTTCCATCGATGCTTTTATTTTGTTTTTTTATTATAGTATAAATTTTACCATTTTCGAACAGTATGCTTGCAAAATGTCATTACTAACGCAATTAGGCAAATAGTTTGGTAAGTATTCGGTCTATTTTTCGTGGGATCTTTGTGTAATTTATCCTTGAAGCGCAACTAAATTTTCACCATTTCCAGATGTGGAAATAAAACTGAGTACTACAAATTATACTAAAGGTTAGTCTAAGCTTAATTTTGAAAAGTTGCAAGAATTGAATCAAAAAATTGCCCCAAACTAGAAAATATTTTGATAATTGCGCGAACTTTTAAGAATAAGTAAAATAAATAAATCATCAAATTAGAATAAATAAAAGAAAGAACAAACCAAAAGCAATTTCCCCTGGATCAGTTCGGCAGAAGTTAACATAACCACAGGGCTACCCATATTGTCTGAGTGCACCATCCCTACGATTGGCACTGATATTAATATATATGTATATTAATACGGGCAAACTGAACATTAAATTTTCATTTAAAAGGGCACTTTTATTTTTTTAATTGTTATATAACAACCAATGCCAACCTGTGTCTTCGTTTCTTTTTCTTCTTTTTATTGTTGATGGCTGACGTCTGTAAATCTAGAACACTGGTAATATTTCTTCTTTCTTTCCCATCTACAAATAATGTTTACATTAAAATATATTGTGTGTATATGATATAATATTGTATATTTCTTCTCCTATTATATACCTCGGACAAATACTGTTTATTATTATAATTCCTTTTATACTATATACCTGGGACAAATAACGTTTACATGATATAATATTTGATATTCCTTCTATTTTATAAGCCTGGTACATTAAATGTTTATATGATATAATATTTTATATTTTTCTTCCTATCATATACCGAGAATGTAATAACGTTAGTACGTCTAGAAACTATTTAGTTCATTTTTTTTGCATACGTCTTTTCTTATGTCTTCCTTATGGCATGTATGCGTGATAAATTAAGAAACTTTTCGAAACAAAATACATGTAGATTTAAAATTGAAACCTCTGAGAGTAAATGGAGTAAATAATATGGATTAACAGACTGAAAACCTATCCCGTCCATGATCGACACAAACTAGGTCATTTCGGGACTAACACATGGTTCAATTTTATTTCAATAATTCGCTTGCGCGTAGGGGTCTTTAGCAGTGGGAAGAAACTGGAGCACTCGGAGAAAACCCACCAGGTTGGACATTCGACCCTACTCCTTGTCACGTACAACCGGATAATCGAAACCACGCTAGTTGACTCAATGACAGACCTTATGATACAGCGCGCACGTGCTAACAATTCGGCCATCCACCCTCACGTATTGAGAGGAATTGTCAGTCAATGTAAATAAATAATCAAACAGTACATCGTTCTAATCGTGTATTCAACTTCAGCTATGATCGTGTTCAGAACACGATGCCTTAGTTTATTTACAGACCCCCCCCCCCCCCCCACACACACACACACACACACAGACACACAACTCACAACCGTCGCAAGGTCTTTTTCTGTGTTCTTCAGATTGTATATTGTTGAAATTATTTCAGAACTCCATGCAACGGTTAGATCCTTCCTCAATACAAACTAAAACTTTGAGATATTATTTGGCACTAATACTACATTGCATATATATTATCCATGGGAGATATTGGAACTTAATCGAAAACAATTCAAAGACTGGATTATTTAAATTATTCATGCTACAAAAAATGATATACAATGTATTATGATTTTTGTCCCATAGGATCATAAAATCGTCTGGCAATAAAATATTAATAGTTTGTGTAGTACATCAAATTATGCAATCAAAATAACTTAGCAATAATTCTTATTTAGGAAATTTAATAGAGCAAAATTTATTTTATTGGATGCATATTTTACCAAATAGCTATGTTCTCTTTATAAATAACATTTTGTTTTAATTTTATTTTATTTGAAAATCATTTTTTAGAGATTATTATTTGTTTGTTGAGTAGTTAGGAGAGTGTGTGTGTGTGTAGGCGGGGGGGGGGGGTACACAAATACGAATCTTGGAGATCATTTTTCAAAGGTTATTATTTATTTGCTGGGTTTGGAGAGATACAATACAACACAAGATTGAAGTCTTGAAGATCATTTTTAAAGACTATTATTACTTTGTTGGGGTTTGGAGAGGGGTTTTCTTATCACCCATATCTCAAAATTAGGCATTATATAATCGAGGTGTAAATATATCTATGTTATATGAGTACAATATTTTGCGGTTTTTAAAACAATATTCTTAGAATGGACAGGGTGCCAAATTTGCAGTAAGATTATAATATAATGCGTTCACATATAACAATATTTAACGGCATGTATGGAAATACAAACAATAAGATCAATGCAAAAGTACAACAAAAAAATGTTAACTAAGTGAAGATATATCATTATGAATATACACAAATATAATATTAAATACAGACTATATATATATAAACATAAAATGGTGTAATGCCACATTCATTATAAATTTCTTAATATTATACAAATGGGTGGTATGTTTGGGTAGCTGTTTCTTGGACCTTCAGACAATCATTAAAAACGGCTCAAAAACTAATTGTGTCCAAAATGTTTTACTACAGGTTATTGTCAAACAATTATGCTATCAGTGTAAATATATTAGGAAGTTTCAGTTTCAGGCGTTTTTTTAAAATGGAAAATAATCTTTGATTCAGTAATGTTCAGAACAGTTTTGTTTTCGAACCAATCATTTCAGCTTGCTTCAATCAGTCTAAAACTTTAATTTTCATTTCCCTTTTGGGCATAAAATTAAATACAATAAATGATATCATAAAATTAAATACAATAAATGATATAAAATTAAATAAAATAAATGACATCATAAAATGAATAATACTTCTAATACAATACGTGCTTTAATTAATTAAGTAAGTACTTCCTTCTGGTATGTATACCACGACGTAAGCTATTTCGAGATTAGTATGTTTAACGTGACAAACGAAATGGCACAGGCTACTTACCGTGTTTGCCGTTTTCTGTTCCTGGAGGTGAGAAGATGTTGAAGTTAAGAATGGTCTGGCCAGATGTGTTCAGACTGTCTATAAATGGTGCACCCCATGGATGATAGGCCGGAAAACCCTCTCCGCGGAAATGTTCATGTCCAACATGTGGCAAAAACGGTCCAAAAGCACGGGCATCGGGAAAACAGGAGTTTATTCCACCAAAACGAAACTCTCTACCAAAATCTCGAGTTTCCTGTCCAGATTTTTGTGTCCTTATCCCGAGAAGATCCCTAATTGAGAACGCTGCTTTTTTCTTAGGTTCCATATTTTCACACAAACTATTGCACAAATTAGTATTTTGTTAAATTTCTAAGTTTCTACTTATTTTGAAATTCAATCCATGTCAGTACATTTTGATATTTGAGAAATATGTATTTGGCTTTCAAAATCTTTCATAAAGCCTATGTCTTTAAGTCGGTAACTGAAATGTCGACAAAAAAACTTCCCAAAACCTTGGAAGAACTAATCAAAGTGGTAAATAATTACATCTGTTTTATAGCCTTAGTGGTGCTATAAGATAACAACTTTCATGTTGCTACATTTCTCATTATACACATGTTTTATTCAAGAGTAACTACCTAAACGAGATCATTAATCTTGGATAACCAGATTTTTAGTTGACTTGGCGTCGTTTATAAAAGACTTGACGGACAAAGACTACTGTTTCGCGAATCGATTTATGTGTTTCATTGACTGTCACCAAAACGGCGGAAGGAGGCTGGTCAACTGGCGGTGATGTATAGACCCTCGTGATTGGCTACTTCTGGTAATAACTTTATTGAATACTGAAGTCATAAATATTCTATGTAACCATCACAAGGGAGGATAACAGAATTAGAATCCGTTTTTGTATTCGGTTAACGATTTCACCGGCCATCAATGCAACAGTCGTTGACTCCCGTTACAACATTTGAGTGATGATTGTAGAGTTCGTTTGTCAAAGATAAATTTTCCTAATTAAATTAAGAAAGGTAGAAACTTGCAGATTAACCGAATGATGGCAGGCGATCTTTTAAGGTTGATCCAAAGAACATAATATATTTGTCTACAACACAAACGACATTAATAGTATTAGCCAAAATGCCGCTGTCTTTACAAAGTTCTTACTGCATTACCTTTCAATATGACAGTATTCCTTAAACATGCTAAATCGGCCTATTTGCAGGTCTTTTTTTGGCTCCAAATGTTTTATGAACTATTATTTAGATATTTATTAACATGACAAGCCTATAAACAACTCTCTGGGCTAACGGATGGCCGAGATTTTAATGGATTTGAAAATCCGCAAGATTTAAATATTAAACGATAAAATGGACAATCGAGGTTAAGTCTCGGTTGTCAAGAACCGTTGCTATCTACGCCATATCTTCAAACAATCACAACTTTGCTCGGAATAAAGTAATTTGAGTGAGATTTTCAATATATTCATTTTCCATTATCTATTATAGCATGAATGTTCAGCTCTTACAAAATGAAACTTCATTAGCTACCCTCCAAAATATGCCAGCAATGAATGGACAACTACATCAATGAGTGGAATCGTCCCCTTCTTCTTAACAAAACACCGAACGGTCTTCGTTCATATTGTAATTTGTTAATCATTTTACTTGATAACAGTACGTGTTACAAAACGTTGTAACCGAATAAATTTATAAATTAGTACATCCTTTTGGTTCAGCTTCTAGTTTTATTCTTAAAAAAATCCCATGACCATCAAACATTTCATCAAAGAGATGACCAACATATCATCTCTGATACTTAGTTCCAAGGAAGAGATGATATGTTGGTCATATTCTGTATTCTGCTAATTCTGACAAACTTTAGACGGACAATTTCTAATTATCATTCAGTTCTAATTATGATCATGATCAAACCCTGATGGCTTTTAGACAGTTATTTAGATATCAAACTAACACCAGCGCCAGATTTTGATATTTTTCAATTAGAAACCAAGACACTAGTTTCATTGTTGTAATAAGCATAAAGAAAACCAAGCAATATTTGTTTAAATATGAGTTTTTCCTGAATTGAACATTTTTCATGTATATTATGGGTCACAACTTTATTTTATTTATATATGAAATGTATGTATAAAGACACATCGAAATTTAAATTGCGTCATAAAATATCGAGTAGCTATTTATCTTTAATTATTTTATTTTTAAATTTTCAATGAGGATTTTCTTCTTACTGTAGAATATCGCCATTGTTAATTTATTTCTGTCTCCTAAATTATGATCTGATTCTATCCCTATATGTACCCTTCAAAGGATTATGAATTATAAATTAGGTTGTGACATTACTTCTTCCATAAACCCTGTCCAGTCTTGGACAGTCTGTGACGGATGTCGTGACAAAACACGCTATAGTTATCATCTGTGAGCGAGATTTCTTGTTAGAAGTTCACGTATGTAACAGAATGGTTCATTTTGACATTTGGATTGGTTGCCTATCCAAATGTCAAAATGAACCATTCTGTTAGATACGTTTACTGTTTGTTCTATGTTTTTTTGAGTAATCAGGCCGAATTGTCTAGCTTATCTTTTGAAAAATTGTTTGGACCAGATTAATTGTCTCCATAGTCATATTATGTGCTTCGGAGCTGTTATTCAATATCTAATCCCTCTTAAATATGTACTAAAGGAATTATTTTTTGTTTATTTGATCAAAACCATCTTCGCTAACAAGAAATCGAGTGTTCAGAAGTGGTGGCCACAAACATAATAAAGATTGGTTGCAGCATCTGTTTATGTCTTCGTGATATGATCCGTTGAATTAAGTTTATGTAGAGGAGGAAAGCAAGCGTTCTTTTTTCTTTAGTTGACTGCCGATTTGGGAGGGGTGTAATCTTTTTAAATATATAATTCTTGAAATTCATAATAAGAAAAAAAAAATGAAATGAATATAGAACAAAATTGTATTATCAAGTCTTATAGAACCCAATAAATGTATATTAATGTAAAATATCGCAATCTGTAATCTTATAAGCAATTTTCATGAACGCGTGTCGTGCTTCGTGTACAAAACCATAAGGTTTCTTTTTAAAATTACTGTTGATCCCTGTCAAAGCACAACATACACTTGGTTCTAGTTGATTGAAAGTATTCGATTTATGAGGAATCCAAAAAATGTAGCCTAACGTGATTAGGCAAACAAATGCCCGCGTCTGAAGAGCAGAAAACCGTATTATCGTAGAAAATGGCCGCAATTCTAGTTAACATGAAGAAGCAATAGAAATTTCATTAAAGAGAAACACGAGCGTTCCGCAGCATAAAATTCGATTTTAATCTGGGGGAAATCGTCTAAAATGATTGAACGAGATTTTGATTAACATTTTCATGTTTACAATTCGTCAAATTACCAACATTTATTGAATTAAGGGTAATTCTCTCTTCTGTCGGCTAGAAATTGTGTGGCTTCCAGCAGCAGACGACGACACGAGCCACTTGGTATCTAGTACTTTCTGTTGAAGAGTTCGTTTCTGTTTATTGATACTATAGGTAGACTATTGTAGCCATTTTAATCGACCTGTAAAGAAAGAACTTAGTAATTCGACTGATTGAACAATTAAAGAATTCCACATCTTTTATGTTCTTATATTACTAAAAATGCATTATGTAAGAGCTAAGTCGGACTATTGTCTGTCTTTTTTGGCTTACAATATTGTATAGCTTATAATTAAAGCATTTATTAACATGACAAGCCCATAATCGACTCTCTGAGCCAACGAGTGGCTCTGACTTTAAGAAGATTAGTACCTGTAGGACCAGGGGCGTGCTGGCCCCGAAGGGGCCCGTCGGTCCCCGAAGGCGACCCGCGCGCCAAAGGCGCGACGCTGGTAGGGAGGTCTGGGTGGGTTCTCCCCCCAGAAAATTTTTGAAATTTGACAACGGGAAAGGCGTTTTGCAAGCACTTCTGGGAGAAATCTAGGTATCATATTTTCCAAATTTATGCTGCTATTTTGACTATAAGACATACTACTGTACTACACAAGACACTCATGACAGGTCTGCTTAATATAATGCTAATGGAAATTAGAGCTCTGGGGGGGGGGGGGGCGCTTATACGAGTGGACTTATTGTTTAATGGGGGCCTGGGAGGACACCGTCCTCCTAAACTCCCTGCCAGCACGCCCCTGTGTAGGACGTTAAACTCAATTTCATTTCATTACGCGCCATTTATATAAATTGAAATTGAATAGAGTTCAACTACATTCTCTCTAATGTAAGAACAATGAGAATCCTCGAAAACACACAGCCGTTAATGAAATACACTACCATAACATAATTTTTGGCGTTTTGGGCTGCCTCCCTTGTTATCTCGAAGGAAGGTACAATTATTATTCCGGGGGACAATTAATTCAAGATATCTTCATGAAAATTTATGGAATTTTGCACAACTCACATATCTAGAACTGAGCATATAACTGATTTGCGGTTCTAATCCGTTTTACATCTCTCATACACACACAGACTAAATACACATTTTCAATTTCATTAAACGGGAGCAGCTCGAAGTATACTTAAGAGTGGAAATTAAAATGTCGGTCAACCAGCTTCGTGTCTGTCCTGAAGCGAAGCTAATTGTAGACAGACAACACATGTTTTATTCCTGTGCCTTATACCTAAATATGTCCTAGAGCGCGGGCTATTGATGGTCAAGTCTTCTTTTTCTTTTCATTTTACATGATCGTCAGTTAAACTCAGTGAAAATAACTGATGATAATTTTTGCCAAGCCTGCTTTAGGATGTCGTTTATGTAGTTCATAATACCTTTACATAATTATTATTTTATTATGTGCAATGGAAAAAATATTTGTATCATTTAATTTATGACCGCAAGCAAATCAAAACGAAACATCATAATTAAGTTTCCTTTCTGATTTTGAATTCATAGATATTGGACGATCAAATTTAAAATAAAGTTTTCGTTAATTCTTAGTCATATCTACGGAGTCCCTTAAACATACATTATGTAGGTCTTTCTTCGGGTGTGAAATGCTATATAAACTATTAATTAGACATTTATCAACATGAAAAGCCCATAATTAACTCTTGATGCCATCTTATGTGTCGGATTTTCACTGGATTTGAATCCGACCTGTTGCTCAACGCTCATTAATGATTAACCGCAAAAAATGGTTGTGGCCGCTGCAAGTCTGCCTATGGGCCGATCGGCCCAGCTGTTCGTCCGTCCGTCAACAAATTGTGAACGTTATAGTTTGTATAAGATTGTCTTCCAATTTGATGTGAAGAATTTGGTCATCAGTGGACGAACCCTATCGACGTTTAGCGATATGCGACCTTTACCGAAAACTTTGATGTGAAGCACTGGGGATATAAAAGGATGAACCCTATCGACATTTTATGTTACACAATCTTCCGCTCCAGTGTTACTCCTTCCCCTATTCTGAAAACATTACGAACACGAAAAAAGATACACATTAAATCAGAATTTTCTTCATAAATGTGTGTGCGCCGAGGTGATGAGAGAACAAACCCTATCGTTTCCGCGAAACTCATTAAGTGTACCAGATTGTGTCGGAAATTGTTGAATATCGGTATGATCAAATAGAACCGGTGACCATTGTGAGTGTAGCTTCAGGATTTCCTAAAGAGGTCCATAACTCGTAAAAGAATCGTGATAAACGGTCTACATGTAATTACAATCGTTGAAAATCAATAGACTCTATCCTCATAAAAGATAAACAATAACATATAACTGTTAAAATATCAGATTAAAAACGTAGTATAGTTCGACTGACTGGTTGGTCGACCATATTTATAAATTCGTTTAAGAGGGAGAGGGGATCGAGTGGATCGAGTAATCTAACGAGCATGCGCTTTACTTCACAGTCTATCGTGGTTTCGATCCTATATAGGAGAAGACTAAGACGGCCTGTCCAACCTAAAGACCCCTACGCTCAAGCGAATTGTTGTTATGAAACTGATAGGTTAATCCAGAAATGACTTCATTTCTCTCTCACCTTCTCTCGTTCCTTTTCTCATTCTAAGTGAAGCATATAAGAAGTTTATAGTAGTGCTTACTCATAAAGTAAAATTCCTAATTTTCTCCGAGTACTTGGGTTTCCTGCCACTACTAAAGACCCCTACGCGCAAGCGAATTATTTAAATAAAATTCAGCCATGTTAGTCCCGAAATGACCTCATTTGTGGCCAGTAGACGTTAAACCCCATATCTCGCTCTCTCTTTCATAAAGTAAAATGAATCCGGCGTTACGCTGTAAGGGAGATAACTATTATGTTCCCTACCGATGCAGACGGACGCGGGTCACTATTATTAATTCCCACGTTGCTTATCCAGGCCTCATAACTGCTTTTTTGACTACATATTTTAGGGGAATTGATGTAAAGGTTCAGACAGCTTGCTTCAGCACAAGAGTTGCCATAAATCTTTCAGTGATACCTCTGAGGTTTAAATTGTTGGAAACATTGAAATATTCACGCAATTCACGCTTGATACATTGAATATTTGGAATTCATCATTTAATTTTTGGTATTTGTAACATGCAGATGTTAAAAGAGAGAATACTCTGGCATACGCAATATGGTATTAGTCAGCAAATACATTAGCAAAATCCCTACTGTGAGTTGAAAGTTAGGGGTTCGATTGGACCCCTTGTTCCCTTCAAACGTTGGGCCTGATTTGCATGTAACAGAACTCTGCATGTGAGAAGCATATGAATACCGAACTCTTCGCTACGTGTAAAAATGTATAGGAGACAATGTCACTAAATTTCAGAAAGCAGTGCCCAGTAGTTATAACAAAACACTATAAAACATGTGCATGGGGTCCACGGAGACCCCACGTGCACCGACAAGGGTTAAGGCGAGTTCAAGCCTTCTATTAAAGATGGCTAACACTAGGCAGTTCAGGTGTCTTCTCATATTTGTTAAAGCAAGCCCCAAATTATAGCTCGTTGATTGGATTTTTGTTGTGTGCCTGAATAACTCTACCATTTTACACGATCATATATGTTTTCAAAATCTTCATCAAACACGTATGATGATGTTTTAAGGGTAATGTTTTATGGTGTAGATGGGAATGCGAACATGGTCAAACATTTGAGAACATGTTCAAGGATGTTTGAGAATGCACATTTATTTTGAACTTGTTGTATGATGTTTTACGTCTGGAAAGAATCAGAGAACAGTTCTTGGTCACATGGTAAACTGGGTCACATTGACAATCCATCAAAATGTCAGCACGCATGCAGCAACATGTCCACAGTGCCAATGGTTCGACTTTCATAATCGGTTGCTCTTCATAAACAGGGTCATATTGTATGTCCAAAAATCCATAAAATATTCAAAAGCAACCTTGAAGATGTTAAAGAATGTTGTATGTTGTATCTAGCGACCTTGAAAAGTGCGAACATCATCAAACAAATATTTGATGAAGATTTTGAACATATGTCGTGTGATCGTTTAAATTGACCTTTAGACATAAATCTTAGTCCCAGCTTAATGTTATTCTTGAAAGAGAGTTTCCATGTTACAGGCGCCCGTGGAGATAGTAACAAATATACTCTGGGGATAATAACAGTATCCATCATTTTTGCGACTTGTTTTATTAAATAATAAATAACATTTATAGAAATGACTCGATAATAATACTACCACAAAAAAATACACACCCTAGGCTGTCAGGGATTCTAATATGCCTTTCTGTTTGTTGTATTTTTATCACGAGAGCTACTTTGACCGGAAATACCACGTTTATCACTAGATACTTCACTTTTATGATTATTCTGACGATAAGTTTTACTTTTCCGACCGGAAAGTTTACTTTTCGGAGTCGAAACTTCACTTCTTCGGCTTGATCCTTCGGTTCCGCTAGATCCACGAGAAGCTTTTCTCGAAGAGACACCACAGTCTACAAAATTGTCTTCGGAATCGCTGTCTTTTACAGTGGATACATCATCTATGATTATACTTGGTATTTGGAGATCAAGCTAAAATTAAATAAAATTTAAAAAAATAGCAAAAGACTATATAGAAATTGATAAATCGTAAATAAAATGATATGGTCCATGGTCAGAATAGGGCCACTGACCACTGCTGGCCAGTTCTTCATTTCGGTTTGACTAGAAATGACAGTGTCCTATACACAGCTCGGTCTTTTTTAGAATGGACATTATTTTTGCCTGACAAAACAGCAGATTGTATATTGCCCCCCTAAAACACGGGCTATTCACGTTTGGGTAGTGTTGGCAATACGCCCGATTGTGTCTTGTTTGGTTTACGCTAACATCACAATTGAGGCCATGTTTAATTATAGTCTTGTAGGAAATACAGTTAATGTTCTTAGTTTTGTAATCCCAAAAGTATTAAATGAGGAAAAATTCATTCCAATACCACCCCCTATAATTGATCAAACTGCACGCAGCGATCCATCTACGTCATACGTCAGGCGGAGCTAGCTGTAGACAGGCAGCCTAAGTTTGGGATGATAATTGGTAAGATGGAAATCGGGCGTGACCTGACTCTTGCATTAATAACATACCTGATCGACGTTCTTTTTATGTTGGTTAAGTTCAGCCAAAGTTTCAATATCCATGTCATTATCAGATGTTAATACTTGCCGTACCCTAGGATAGTCAGCTTCATCTAAAGCTTCTAGGAATAAATCGTACGCCTTTGATCCTCCCCAAGACACCAGACTTACTAATTCACGAACTCTCTGATGATCATCGCGTAATGCCCGTATCGTTTCTACGTCTAACTTGTCAATGATTCCTTGTCCTACCATCTTTAGAGCAACGTTGTTAGCCTCTATAGCGTCTTCGAGTAAGAACTGACGTTGTTTTAGGCGCATTGCATGTGCAGAAACAATTGGTTCGCGACTTATCTTCCGCGATGTTATTTTCTGGTACGGGGACAACGGTGGCAAGCCGGCTGTATTACCATTTTGTTCCACCCTTTCGTCGATTTTCACACTTGTTTGGCGCTTTGCGTTTTTATATTCACCGCTTTCTGCTTTGTTATTCCCTATTTTGCTTTCAGCTTGTTTTTCGTTTTCTTCCGTACCTTCTGTAGTTAGATCATTGTTTTCTTCTTTATCTAAGGTGTCGTTATTGGGTTCTCTTTTCTTAACCTTTACATTATGATTTTCAGATTCATCGTAATGTTCTTGGTCACGATTGACATTCTCTGCTTCATTCGGTAACGTTTGATTAGATGTTTGACTCTCTCTTTGAGTTGACTGTGCACTGCCTCTCCTACTAGTATTTGAGTGTGGACTTTCTCTCATTGTTGATTGTTGACTTCCTCGCCTATTTGAATGTGCACTTTTCCCTCTATTTGACGAATTACTGTCTCTATTGGACCCAACACTTTCTTTCCTATTTGATTGTTTCCTGTCTCTTATATGATACTGTATGCTTCCACGCTTATTTGACCCAACACTTTCTTTTCTCTCCGACTCAACGTTTTCTCCTCCTTTTGATACAAAACTTTCTTTCCTATTTGATTGTTGACTGTCTCCCCTATCAGACTGTACGCGTCCTCTCTTATTTGACCCAGCACTTTCTTTCCTATTTGATTGTTGACTGTCTCCCCTATTAGACTGTACGCTTCCTCTTTTATTTGACCCAGCACTTTCTTTCCTATTTGATTGTTGACTGTCTTCCCTATTCGATTGTTGACTGTCTTCCCTATTCGACTGTACACTTCCACTCTTATTTGACCCAGCGCTTTCTGCCCTATTTGATTGTTGTCTGTCTGCCCTATTCGACTGTACACTTCCACTCTTATTTGACCCAGCGCTTTCTTTCCTATTTGATTGTTGACTGTCTCCCCTATTAGACTGTGCGCTTCCTCTCTTATTTGACTCAGCACTTTCTTTCCTATTTGATTGTTGACTGTCTGTCCTATTCGACTGTACACTTCCACTCTTATTTGACCCAGAGTTTCCTTCCATTTTTGATTGTTCACTGTCTGTCCTATTCGACTGTACACTTCCACTTTTAATTGACCCAGCACTTTCTTTCCTATTTGATTGTTCACTGTCTCTCCTATTCGTCTGTACACTTCCACTCTTAATTGATCCAGCACTTCCTTTCCTTTCCTTCTCAATGCTTTTCACCCTCTTTGATCCTGCACTTTCTTTCCTATTACAGTTTGAATCTGTGCCCTCCTCCCTATCACCGTCTGACTCAGTACCCTTTTCAATATCTGACTCTACATTCTCCATCATATCAGTACTTTCTTTGGTATTTGATTTTCCATTTGCTCTTTCTTGCTGTGCGCTTACTCTCTTGTTTGTATGTACACTCTCTCGTCTATAGGAATGATTAATGTTTTCGTCATTTTCCTTAATCAGTGTATCATCACTACTGTCATCTGTATCAGTATCGTCACTGTCGGAGGGAAGAAGGTCAGTCTGAAATGATAAAAAGAACTAAGACTACTTAGATTGTATATTAATAAAAAAAAATAACTCGATGCGAACCCGAAAATCTTTCTTTAAAGATCGTTAGTTCTATTACTATATCCTACAACTTGTAATGGTAGGTTCTTGAATTTTAGAAGCTACATGTGCCATGGGTTTGCAGTATTTTTGTAGCTATGATGTGCCCGCCCCCCCCCCCCCCCCAGTCCACGAAACCACCACATTTTATTTTGCATCAGAACAGGACGAAAGTGATAAAATTTTAATTATATACTTACACTTGCAGTTATTGGTCTGCCAAGTAACAGATTACACAATCGGCCATTACCTCGCATTCTTAATCCTTCTACAAACCACATAAAGGCTCTGGAGCCACGACAGCAAATAATTCTAAGAAATTCCTTGTTTCTCAATGGTTGTGGCAACGTGTCTATACTGTTCATATCATGACCATCTATCACATTTTTGGTCACCAGGAAACTTGTCAGGTTGGATGCCTCTATTTTTCGCACAAGATAGTCAAAATGATTCAAGATTTGTTGTTCGTCTTTTTGTTCTATGGTTTCCCGCCATGCTCGATCTACTATAGTATGACCAATACTTAGCTCAACTTCCTGAAATTCAATGCCTGTATTCAGTGATCATAGTCTTGTAAGTAAACAGTTTGTAGATCACAGGGTCGGATACCTATGCACTCCAAGCGTTCAATCCCAGGCTTGTATGTGGCAAGGAGTATACCTCCGGAAATAAAATTATTGAAATAAAAATATACAATACTGTTAGTCCCGAGATGACCTAATAAATGTTGAGTAGGCGTTACTTCTCTAAATACAGTAGTGCAACAATATTTCTTGTATGTGAGGACTCCCCAAGCCAAATACTAATTTGCAGAAGATACAGTCGAAACATTTTCTCTTGGATTAAAGGACCTAAACCGCTAATATTTGGGATCTAGAAATTGACACAAATGGGTCAATATAATATAATAATTTAATATGAATGTATATTCAATCGTTTCCATTTTCACTCTTATTTCAAATCAGTTATGTTCGGCGAAATACGCCAGAATCTCAATCGAATGACAATCTCTAGCGTCTGGTTATTCCAGTCTACATCGATAGTATTTATTGCACATGCTCTCTAGATAAGAATTTGTCTAGGATATCACCTTAGGTGGAAGTGGACGTAAAACTCTAGGAACGAACGAACCAGATAAGAATATGATGTCACCGTTGACATGACTTGTGGAATATGTCTAGCTTCATTCTTCGAGTCCCTTGTTACAAATGGCGCTGAAACGTTTATTTTGTCTTAAATGTTGATTTAAATTGACAAATAATTCGTGTTTTCAATGTCGAAGAATTTGGATGATATTGCGTTAGAGACTTAGCTACTTTAAACTAAAACATTATTCACGTGTAATAGTTTATAATACAATGTCTCCAAAGTCAAAAATATGTACTATTTTTATGCGAAGTCTCTTATTGTGTACTTTAGCACATCCAAATGTAAGACGAACCTTAAGAATGAGCTGGATTGTAAATACGAATATCAATAATACTATGTTTACCTATGAAATGACATGTAATGTGTTTAACGTCCTACTGTTCTGCTCCAACTGGGCTAATGAAAAAAACCATACGCCATACAGTGTGCTATGAGGGACAGCGCTGCTACAGCCTACACTTATCTCGAATTCCAACTGCCAAGGGATCTTTTACATGCACACCAATGTGTACACGGGACCTTGGTTTTTCACCCCATGCGGACAATATTGTACGTTGTCCCTTGCCAGGCCCTCTTCCCTGCACCACTGACAACGGGAACCACGCCGGAAAATCCCGATGAACGCAGGGATCGAACACGTAACGGCCAGGTTAGCGATCCAAAGTGTTACACACTGAGCCACCGTGGATCCACTGTTTATCTAAGATACATAAAGATGGTGGTTTAAGATCAATAGAAACCAATGTAAACTTTAAATGATCCTCACTTAATTAGATTAGGCTGATTTGAATACACTTTGGACAAGCTTATTCCATATAACAATACTCTGATTGTGTAGTGTTTGTCGTTCGGATGGGACGAAAAACCGAGGTCCGGTGTACACATTGGCGTGCACGTAAAAGATCCCTTGACAGTTGGAATTCGATATAAGAGTAGGCCGTCATAGTACACGGTATGGCGTATGCCCGTCTTCATTAGCCCAGTTCGGAGCAGAACAGTAGGACGTTAAACCCCATTTCATTTCAATTCTGATTGTGTAGTTTTAAATTGTTTGTCTGGTCAGTTCTATCAACAAATTACAAAACAGACAGTATATTATGCTTACCGTTTCTTGACGCTGATGCAATATTTTTAAATCTAAAAAGCCACGTTTGGCTAGTCCCTTCTTAAAAACTCGAAAGCCTCTCCTGCCTTTTTCCGAAAGAATTTTTAGAAATCTTTCATTTCTTTTAGAAAATTCAGGAATGGCGTCAACACTTTCCATCTCTTCTTCGTTAAAAATATCAAACACATATAAATACGAGGTGTAATCTCTCGCTTCTATATGATCTCTTAGAAATTCTTCATCTTCGATTATAATCAGGGATTCTCTACGAGAAACTGGAGGTTCAACTTCAGTTGCCATCATCCTTGATTAGTTGCTTATATCTAATAAAGAAAATGGTATGTTATTATTTATTCACTTACGAGCAAAGCATTGTGAAGGTGTGCTTACGTTATTTACGTGTGGGGTTCGTGGTTGTAAAAATCCCGGCGTAGGCCGAACGTGGCATCGGTCGAAACGAGCCTTCAAGCCGAGTCCTAATGATAATGAGGCTTAGTCGTTCAGATGGGACGAAAAAACAAGGCTCGCCCGTTAACACATTGATGGATATCGAAGAAGAGTAAGCCGAAGCATATAATCGTTATAATATCAACCATATCAGTAAAAAGTACCATCAATTTGTCTCAAAATTACCGAAGTATATCAGTTAACACCACCCAATTTCATCCAATCTCTATTAAAACGTATTTTATCTTTAAATAATGTTTGGGGTGAGAAGGAGAGGGGAAGAAGGTAGGAAATTAAAGTTACTACGTCGGCATTTCCCATTGACAGTTATAGTTCAGTGAAATTCCGTCAAAATAAACTGTTTCTACTATTTCTTACTCCTCAAATATAATAACCATTTTCCATGAATATATTAAAATAAATATCGTTTCGTAGGCATGTAATGTTTGTTTTTTAAAACTACTTATAAAAACTTACCTACTTTTACGTTTTATGCGCTTCACTTTATTTCCCTCTTGTCATTTTGATATACAGTCTTCATATTTTTCTTATCTAAAGTAAACTGTGGTTTCGAAAGAGCGAATATCAATTTGTTATTTTTTTATTAAACGTTGGCCTTGTTAACGACCGTGGCTAGTGTAAAAACTATGTACAAGTTTCTTAATACTAGTGTGGCTAATATAAAAGCGGTCTATTGAAAACCTTCTTTATTTGATATCAAAAGCCAGAACTAAGAATTGAATAAAATATATATGAATGCCTGTTAATCCTATTTAGGCGCGTTTTATATATAGATATATATAGAATTATAATAGACCTTTGTAATTCTAATTCACACTTCGACTTTATTAATAAAAGTATTAACTGTATAATATAATGGTCGCGGTGCTACAAACATCTCTAAACGTATCTGTATTCGATTTTTTGCATTGTGGAAAGGTATATACAAAATCAATTGATCTACTCTCGATTACGTCAAAACAAAAATCGAGTTGAGATGTGTCACTTCACAATCATCTATATCAATATAAAATAGGCAAAATCCAAATCAACTAACAAACCATAGTTGCAATTTATTAGGTTTACCCACATTTCGACTACATCCCATTAAGCACCAACCACCATTCAAACGACAGTCAAACCCAATTTAAACCTTGACATGGCAAAATAGCCCACCTTATGCTTTTTAATGGATATATAGGGGACTTTATTATTTTGACGCCATAACTGAGCCCCCATTTTGAATTGTGCTCGAGCTCATTGGATTCTGTTGGTCGAATTCTTATAGAGACCACCGAGAGGTCCAAGAGAAATTGTCACGAAATTTACCCAACTAAATAATCACGAAATATCCATATTGAATATTTAAATTCCCCCATATATAATCTATCAAAAAACAAAAGATGGAGTATATTTCACGTTTTATCGACATCCAGTACACACACACATATTTACAAACAGAGCAGTCGTAACTTTTGAAAGGATAATGCTGGAGATATTCAAAATTAAAACCCTCTTCTTCGATTCTAGACGAAAAAGTCAAAAGTCAAAACCTCTGCTGCTTAAGCACAAATATGCACTGGCAAATATGTATGAGGACTACATATTTCTCATTTTAATCGGTAATTTCTTTTGGATGATTCTTTTAGTCTCGGTAAAGAAAGAAGTTCCAAGTTTATTTTCTTTCTATATGTGATCTGTTTAACATATTGAAGTGGTTAAACAAGTAGCTGACAATGAGAAATGGGCTAAGTCAGGGCCGTATGTAGGATTTTAAAAGTGGGGGGGGGGGCAGCAGAGTGGTGGGGCGCCATAGCCTCCACGTATGTGATATAAGAAAGTTTCGATCAGGGCTAACGAACTGATCAGTGCCTTAAGAGCATCACTGTGTGATCATAATCAAGTGTATTATTTTACAATTGAAAGATTGTCAAATAATTTCTGTTTTTTTGGATGGGGTGGGGGGCAATTTCTCGGGGCGCCTTATTTTTCTGGGAGTGCAATGTACCCCCTGCACCCCCGCTAAATACGGCCCTGGGCTAAGTAGGTATTTAGCAAAATTTAAGTTTCTTAGATTAACTTACAGACATTTCCCGCCACCATGATTTGCTGAAAGTAGGGTACTATCGTCCAGTCATCTCGTGCACAGATTAGTCCAATTAAATAGAATAATGTTAACGTAAAACGGTGCCCATACGAAACACTTACCCAAAACTGGTAATTGTCCCGCCCTAATAGCTGACACATCTATACTTTTTATATGAGAAAGTGCGAGGTTAAATTCCCCTTCAGACATCATTTAGTATTCCCAGAAGGACGTTCCCACAGACTCCTCGGCTTAAAGACTGGAAAACAGACATCATTTAGTATTCTCAGAAGGACGTCCCCACGGCCTCCGCTGCTGAGAGGCTGGGAAACAGGAATCTTTAGAGGTTCTAGAAGAGAACTCGTTCGGAGTTCCTAGGGGAACATCATACCCACAGCCTCCTCGGTTTACAGGCTGAGGGAGGATACAGAACCAATATTTAGCCCATATTTTATGCCATAGCTGCGTGTGTAGTTGCCTGTATATAATTATTGTATTGTGGATGTTATAAAGATTTAAAATACAGATGTTACGTCACCCTTTGATGTTGGCGTACCATTATTTGAAATAATCGTACGGGCAACTTGCCAATCGTACATTATTTATACTAGTGAAATATTGGACTCGCGTGACGTATTTCACTGTAAAAGCACGTGCGTCTGTATTCTAAGTTGTTTAATGGTCTCGAGCTTAAGATATTGCGTAATATTATTAAAACAACACTCGGGCCTCACGGTCCTCGTGCCGTTTCAATATATTACTTTTAATGTCTCGCTCTCGACCATTAAAGAATACATAAAAATATAGTTAAACCAACAAAGTGTTCCAGAGTCAATTGATCCTCGGGGTTTTATGTGTAGCGTGAAAGTCCTGACTAGATAAGTGTCACCCTAGTGTTACACGCCGTTTTCTGGGAGTTCCTGATTAGATAGCCACATCTGTCCCCGTAGTGTCACATGAATGATCCATAAAACACCCCCTGTTCAGAATTTAGAGGGCTTTAGTTGTTCTTCTGATACCGCTTAAATCATAGAGTCGGGGAACGTTTTTAAATGACTTTGAATTCCGACAAGGATTAAGCACGAAGTAATTTGCATATTGTATCTGAAAAATGTCAACACACTCGTGTGGTCGTGACATTATATAGCGTGCTGATGCGGTTGTTGCGCTGTTTTGAATTACACTGTCATTTCGAAGTTGGTATTTTTCTCCACCAAAAACCTGTGTTTGAAAATCAAGTCCATTTCTCCACAGTCATTTCAGTCAGTGTTCTGGGAGGTTTTTGTTGATTTTTTAAAAATATTATTTTAGAATATGACACCATCAGTTAATAACGATCTAGGGAGAGAGAGAAGTGGGGTTTAACGTACACTCGACACAAACTAAGTCATTTCGGGACTAACATATGGTTCAATTTTATTTTAAATAGGGGTCTTTAACAGTGGGAGGAAACCAGAGGACCCGGAGAAACCCCACGAGGTTGGACAGGCGACCCTACTCCTTATCACGTACAACCCGGAGAAACCCCACGAGGTTGGACAGGCGACCCTACTCGTGTCACATACAACCGAGGAATCGAAACCACCCCAGTTAACTCTGTGACAGACCTTATGATACAGCGCGTACGTGCTAACCATTCGGCCATCCAACCCTCCTTAATAACGATCTAATGTGAGGTGTAATATTTTTATTCACTTAATGAAAGTCTTGGATAATTACAGAATTATTATCTTCCATTGTCAGACCAGCATTGAAATGAAATTTACTTATAATTTTTCATATACACTTACTAATAATTGTGTGTTGATTTTTTTTTTTTTTTTTTTTTTTTTTTAGCCTGTGTTTCAGGTTGTGTGTTTCAATGAACTGAAATGATCTGAAATGGGGTATAATAAAAACGTCCTACTGTGTGTTTCAATATGCCAATTGCATATGAATGTTGAATTTTATTGTATTTTAATTTACATGAAATTTATAGGACGGTATACTCATGTATACGACACACATTTCGGCCAATCAGAATCCAATAAGTTTTCATTTTGGCTATCAACAGGAATGTTTTCGGAAAGGTTTGAAAGTTAAGGACCACTGCAGATATGGTCAAAGGTCACGAGTATTAAACAGGGCTAGCAAATGTTTTCTGAAATTAAATTCATTGTAACAACGGACTTCCATACTATTTAATAATTTGTATTAGAGTTATTCCCCTTGTTGTATTATATTAATGGTGGAGATTTGTTTACTTTTTTTGTGCTAAGTTAATTCATGTGTATTCGTTTATCCTTCTGACTTCTGTCCAGCTATCAAAAATAAAAAAAGGGCTTCTTTTCCAATTTTGATCATTTGAGATCCGTTTGTAAATTTATGTGTTATAATGACGCTTACTGATGTCAGTTCCGATGCTAGTTGCTAAGTTGGTAGTGCCGTGGTTCTAGCTACAAAATTACAAAGTCAAGTTAAAAAGGGTCACACTCACAAGGTACCTGTTATGTATACTATAGCATTGATTAGTCTATAACTATAGGGCCATTCACGGGCGTCCACTGACACAGTGAATAAGCTAATAAGAAAGCCTTGTGTTCGCTGCCGTTGTTATACAGTAAACTTCGCATAAGTCGGATACTCGGATCTAAGTGGACTGACCAATTTTATCGAGTTAAGCAAAGATCCGAGTTAGCCAAAGACCGAAATTTAATCTTAGCTCGATTAGAAATAAACTACAAGAGCCGGATAATAATTGATTCAAACGCACATTCCAAGCTTTTGTTTGTTTGTGCGAGTAGATAACTTCCATTTTGTTGCCATCTTTGAAAAATGTCCTAAATTTTACCGGAAAGTCTGCGAGTTTCGAAGTTTCCGGGAAAATTCCATTATTGCATCGCGTCAAATAGGCTGATTTGAGTCAAAATGATAGGGGAAAGTATTTTGAGGCTCTGTGCATGGAATAGCTAACCGTGTTTTAGACCATCGAGATGAAACTGACTTAGTCAAATTCTGAACATACTGCCAATCCGAATAAGGCGAAGGAAAAAAGCCGGAATTAGATCAAATGGACCGACCTTTTTGATTCGAGTTGAGTAAAGATCCAACTTGGGAAATCCGACTTACACACCAAAAATTAATAAGAAAAATGTGCAAGATCAAAGGGTCCAAACGATTTTATCCGAGTTGAGCAAAGATCCGACTTATATGAATCCGACTTATGCGACGTTTACTGTAGTAATTTATCATACTTGATAATAGTAGGCCTATACATTATTTGACTTTGAAGATGTTACAGACATGGCTTCCACATTCGCCATATAGGACTATGGAAAATTACCGTAACGCAATCTGACCCATCGGTCATTTTGCATGCCGGAAAAATAGCTTTTCTTTTTCAAAACCCAATTTTCAAACATGGCTACGATTGACCTCCACTATGTAACTATAAAATTGTACGGCCAGTACAGAATAATGCACACGTATAGCAGCCACATAATCTCATGATTATACTGAGTGTTGTGTTGATAATTAATGATGAGTATCTGGTAGTAGAACAATAAAAGTTAATTATTAAACAAAATGTGTTTGCATGGTGAAATTAAACGTCTCCAATCGTAGCTAAAACCAAACACATACAGTAAAACATTGATTCAATCACTTACTTACAATTACAGTATTTTTTAACTGGATTCTTATGAGATAACACAAAATATTGCAATTTATTTCCTTTGGCCTAATCTTACATGTACAAAGAAAAATAGCAAGTAACTTAGAATGATCATCAGCACCAGTATATGCATCAGTTCTATGATCTACATAGCATATTTATTCCTACAGGAAAGCTAATTGGTTTTAATTATTTCATTTCTTCAAATTTTTACTATAAACTATTGGAAGGTGATAATTTTCTTTTAAATTTTATTGCAGGAGGATAATCTGAAAGTGAAATGTAGTTCTCCTATTTTTATAATGTAATAAATGACAGAAAAATAATGTTATATTACTACTGGTGGTTAACAAGATGAGGAAATTAAGTGAAATCGAGAAATTATCCCTAATATTCATCATTCCAGCTAATATCCTATATACACTGGCTGCATTAAGTCATTCATGGTTTCAGTTACCACCACATAGTTTTTATGGTTTGTGGTGGGTTAAATTCTGTGATATCCTACGATGTCAGATCATACCAGCATTCTTTGCCGAAGAACCATGTAAGTAAAAAATTATTGTAAGTTAGAGATCAGATACCAGGAGTAAAACAACATCTAGAAAAACGTTGCACCGGTTTGATTTCAATTCACATAATAATCAAATTGTAGATTTGTACAGATGATCCGAAACCAAGTGTGTGTCTGCTGAATATGATTCTGTCTGAAATAACATTTATTGTACTGTGTATTTTTAATGATTGTTCTATATACCTGGTAGCCATTTATCAGGCATTTTTATTAATTGGTTATAAAAAGCATTTCTTGGATGTGCACTAATACTGCTGCTGTCCAGTGTGTAGAACATTGTGAACAAATTTTATTGATGTATTATTTATCAATGAACACTTCTGTCCAATCATTTAATTCATGTATTCTAAATATGACTGTCAGAATTCAAACGCACTGGTTGGTATGAGTAATTGGCTGGCTTCATATTTGTAAATCTTGAAGAATTTGATAGATCTTTATTTTTATTACTTTCAAGAAGATTCTTTGAGTTTGCAGCCTGTGTTCCAGTTTCATTTACTGTTTGTTTTGGAGATCTTTTCTTGCAGGAATATTTCTTTTGTTGTTAGGTGATCAAATGGTCTTATGCAAGGTCTGTCATTGAGTCAACTGGCATGATTTCGATCCCGCACTTGTACTTCAGGAGGAGTAGGGTAACTGTCTTTTCTGGACTTCCAGTTTCCCCCCACTGCTAAAACACCCCTACATGTATGAGTAACCAAATAAGCAAAATAAAGTTGTACCATATTATTGTTAGTCGTGAAATGACCTAGTTTGTGTGGAGCAGATGTTAAACCCCATTTCTCTACGTTTTTTTTTTAGAAATATTGGGTTTTTTTTCATAATAATTGACTGTAGTTTTGTTTGTTTCAGTGTGGTATCATCTGTTACAATCAGTTAGTTTAATAGGATGGACCAGTTTATTTCTATCACTGATCATGATAATAACAACTAAAGTTGATAAATATCTTCCACATAGTCTTACTAAGAGAAATCGACAGTTCAGTGTTGCAAGTGTCTGTCTTATATCAGGTAAACTACAAAATAACATCACATAAAGGAGATGGCCCATCCATTTTTATAGTTTCACAGTAAGATATATAATGTACAAAAATTAACTTTTCATGATGTCTCCACTCAAACACCAGACTAAATTGGGGATTGCATTCAGGATACAGAAACAGATGCATTGTCTCCTTTTATAGCTACTTCTTTATCATTCTGTTGAAAATAGGAGTTATTCCCCTTCTTTTTGTGCACGAACCTTATAGAAGGTCTTCACTTCATATAATTCAAAGAAGCATGGCTTATACCACCACAATTTTTTTTCCAAGTAGAAAGATTAAAAATATGTTCTAAGAAAGAGGAAAAAGTTGCGGTTGCTTCTTAGTCGTGTCTTCAATACCACTATTGTAACAGCAGGGATACAGCAGTCGCTAAATGCAGTGCCAAATTGAAGCTCTAAAGCTCTGCTGGCCCTAAGGCACATTTTGATAGGTAACCTGAAAATACAGATATTTTAGGTTCACCAATAAAAGGAAAAAGGGACTGAACCTCCAGTCAGCTTGTTGCCGGGGCAGCACAGAGTATGAAAAGCCTTCAAGGATAAATATGTAGATGAAGAAGGATGCCATTTATTTAAATAAAAATAAAGGAAAGCATTTTTATCAGCACCTGATAATTATCAAAAAAAAAAAACTTTTTTTTTTTGTGGCCTGGATTTTTGGCTGGTCCGAAGGCACGTACCATATTTGCCTTAATGACCAAGGTACTACTACATAGCTTTATACTTTTATGAACATACATGATTCGATATGGTTAAAAACTTAATATATATAGCTGTGACAGTTGAAGTGGGACTGTGCAATAATGTACAAAATATAATTTGTACATCTGATATGAATATTATGATTGCAAACAATTTTAGTCTATAAAAAAGGTTTCTTATAACTTAACTATGTATTGACTGTCCGGTTTTCAGTTAGTAGGCAGTGAGTTATATAAAGCAGGAGCAGCATGGGATAAAAATCTTGACAGGTTACAGCTATTGAAATCTCAGAGTTCTCTGATTGCTTAATATGTAGTAATGAGTTCGCAAAAATACCACAGAAATCCTAAAATCTATTATGGAAATATTGCTATTTACTGTGTTCTATTGAGCTTAAAGAATCTATTACATTGAAATATTTGTCATTTCAGTGTTTGCTATATCTACCAGTCTGGTCATATTTTATGCTAAATTAAAAGAATCAAGCCCACATAGAACACCTGAGATTTCCTGGTCAGCCATATTGGCTAGTGTATCATGTCTGTGTCAACTATCAGCTAGTCTTATTCTTCTACAACCAGTGTTTTGAGTGGTACCATTTTCATTTGGTATTATGCTTCCTTGAAAAATGAAAAAATTTCAACTCTAGTGTATCTACATGTATATATGTGTGTGCAAGTATGCATGTTTCTAGTACTATTGTGAAAAATAACTGGAAGTCTACTGTCTGCAGTACAACTGATTATGATGCATACTTCTGGAAAGCCTGATGACAATTCTCATCTGAGGTGTTCACAGCAAAGAAACTTTTATTGTAATTTTATATTCAACAATTAGAAGAGTGCATAAGACTATCACATAAAAGTGGTATGTATGTATATGAAGCCAGTTTATTATGCCCCATAATAATTGAAATTATCCAATAATGATGTTTTATGTGTCAACCTATCAAAAAACTTTTTAGTTTTTCAATTTCATTAATTTTAGAGGAGATGGTAGTGTGAACTACCCCAGGGTTCAATTGACAAGAAGACTAATCATTACTTATAATACATGTAAAATCTGTAAATCAAAAGTCAATATGGAATTAACCGAACATAGCCTGGGAATTCATCCTACTTAATTCAATTTTCAAAAAGATTTTCAAACCTTGAACTTTCAGTGTTAGCTGGTCAGATAAACTTTATATTACCCCAGTCATGTGATGTAGATTACAATACTCACTTACAGTCTGCAAATCAACAATCAACTTAGATCTTAATGTGACATTTATAAACAACTCTCCAATCCCTAAAAGATGGTGTGTGATGAAGAAATAGTTATTATATGTATGTGGGAATTGCTCAACTTTGTGTGTATTTTGTCAACAAATGAAATAACATTTTAGTGGTCAAAAATGCATTATTTTTAATTTTTTTGGTTTATCAAAACTTGGATAACATTATTTGTGTTTCATCTATAAGAAAATTATTTGTAGATATTAACTTTTTATAAATTCACTCTCTTCCTACTATACTGGCTTGCTTAAATTTATTTTAAACACCAACCCACAGAATAAAATATAGTATCATCAATCCAAATTTTAATTAAAAATCCACATATTTTTATATGGAAATGAAATGAAACGGGTTTAACGTCCTACTGTTCTGCTCCGAACTGGGGCTAATGAAGACGGGTATATGGATGGGAAAAGTTGAACTATCTGTTATATCAATCTTGAGAGGTTAGGTGGTCGAATGGTTTTAAAGATACATTCCCGCATACAAACTGGGTGATTTGATGATATATTTGGCCTAAAAACATATTCAAACTAATTAATTTATCATAAATTTGCTTCAATTCCTTCGCAAAACATAGTAATTGTCAAGGAATACCCTTGCTATAAAAAATCGATCAAAAGCGGTCATGTTTGTGTCAGTGACTTACGGTTGCGAAGTCGGAGGAGAATTCATTGCATACACAAGACGATGTTGTCTTTAATCGCTGACTATTTATTACAAATATCGAATCCTAATTAAATTCTCGGATTATCCACTGCCATGATTTTTATCACAGAAAGTGTTGTACGTCTAACTCTTTGTAAAGCTTATCAACATGTACATCAAGCGTTCAATCTCCGCGTGCAACCTTTGACGTCACGTGTGCAGATATTCCTAATCGTCGGGCGGTCGATTAGGGGAACCCAGATATTTTTGTCCTGTATACGATCCATGAGTGCTTTTCAGGGAATCCAGTATTTTTCTTGTAAGATTGGATATCTCTACTTTCCATATATACCAAAATTGCCATACTTTTATTGGAAATAACCACACGATAAATACTTTTCTGGGAACCTATCTTTAAGTGTGTGCGTTAAAAGCCTACAGTCTGTCATGGATGGGAAAAGTTGAACTATCTGTTATATCAATCTTGAGAGGTTAGGTGGTCGAATGGTTTTAAAGATACATTCCCGCATACAAACTGGGTGATTTGATGATATATTTGGCCTAAAAACATATTCAAACTAATTAATTTATCATAAATTTGCTTCAATTCCTTCGCAAAACATAGTAATTGTCAAGGAATACCCTTGCTATAAAAAATCGATCAAAAGCGGTCATGTTTGTGTCAGTGACTTACGGTTGCGAAGTCGGAGGAGAATTCATTGCATACACAAGACGATGTTGTCTTTAATCGCTGACTATTTATTACAAATATTGAATCCTAATTAAATTCTCGGATTATCCACTGCCATGATTTTTATCACAGAAAGTGTTGTACGTCTAACTCTTTGTAAAGCTTATCAACATGTACATCAAGCGTTCAATCTCCGCGTGCAACCTTTGACGTCACGTGTGCAGATATTCCTAATCGTCGGGCGGTCGATTAGGGGAACCCAGATATTTTTGTCCTGTATACGATCCATGAGTGCTTTTCAGGGAATCCAGTATTTTTCTTGTAAGATTGGATATCTCTACTTTCCATATATACCAAAATTGCCATACTTTTATTGGAAATAACCACACGATAAATACTTTTCTGGGAACCTATCTTTAAGTGTGTGCGTTAAAAGCCTACAGTCTGTCATTGAGTCAAGTCAAGTGGGATGGTTTCAATTGTTCCAATAGTAATCTTCTTGATAGCTTCTATTTGGGAATGGCAAGGTGTAGGGTTACCTGTCTAACCTCATGGGTCTTCTCCCAATGCAAACAAATTATTGAAATGAAATTGAACCATATATTAGTCCCGACATGACAGTGTCGAGTGGACGTTAAACTCTCTCTTGTTTTTTTTTTCATCCCATCTGAACCTCTATTGAAATTCGATGACAAGTTGACAAAACTGATGACCCAGCAAAATATCCCTGCATGTCATATGCCTTCTTCTTCATTAGCCCAGTTGGCATAGGCGTACAGGCTCGATGAATGTTAGGGGAGCAGAACCTCAAATGCCCGAAAAAATTTGGGTTACAGACGGCTTACCTTGTCTCCCCCCCCCCCCCAAAAAAAGAGAATTTGGAAAATATGACGGCCGCATATGCGTTTTCCTGGGGCGAATCCTAATAGTGTGGGAACCTAGAGTTAAGACGGTTGTATTAACATCTTCTATTCCTATTGTAACACCTCACTGGTTTGCACGAATAAAATGAATATACATGTATAGTCAGACCTTTTATACTTCTTAACGCCGTCACATGTGTACAAAAATAAGATAGATATTTGAGCAACTTCCTTGTTGAATAAATATGCCAATAATAATATTATATAAAGAAGACGGTGTGTGAAATTGTATACGTATGTATAACACCAACAATAAATACATGTATGGTTGTTGGGATCATTATTTATAAATTTGGATCACGACCTGATTTTAAATATTTTAATAATCTACAGCCTTTTATGTATGGTGTTTCACCAGTGTCCTCTTAACAAGATAAATTTTGAGATATGAGATAAATTTGTACTTAAAGTGGTCTCGTGATGCATAGATGTACTGGCTCGATGAATGTTAAGTGGGGATGGGAGCAGAACCTAAAATGCCCCAAAAACATTTGGGTTACAGACAGCGGTGCCGATCGTCTGCGAGAGGCGGAGCGTACCGTGTAGGACATCCCCATAAAAAAAATGTGACGACCGCAAACGTGTTTTCCTGCTATTCCAGACATTGAAGTGGTCTAATATAGCCTAACTTACGTGGCTGACTCGAATTTCAACCAAGATATCGTTGCGGGGTATGGAGGCCCCGCGCTCCCCGAGGACATTTTGAAAAATTATGCGTTTTTTCTGCTCTAGCCCGTGAATTAAGCAACTTCAAAGTTCTCAATCGGTTTGCAACTGGAATCTCACTTTATGCCGACCTGAGTTCCATCCATCCAATCAGAATGCTGCAGCTGCATACACAAAATAATAATAATCGATGCCCGAAAAATGTGGCACAAATTAGAGTGGCTATAGACAAAATGTTTTAACCCATAGTCAATTAAGTAACAATTTGTGGTATTCAATTAAAAGAAAAGTAAAATTAGTGTTTTATTAGCTTTCGGGCACTTTACTTTGCCAACTACATGTAGATGAAATAATATTTTTTGTTTTCACTTTACACATTTGCCCGAAAAGTTAGATTGGTAGAGAAAAGTAGGGGTTAACCCCCATTTCTTATAAGAATATTTATAAACTTACTTTAGTGATTTTCTTTATGTGATTGATTTATATATAGTGGTCACATTGATTATTGTGTATTTAATACTGATATTTATATGTTATGTTTTAGATTTTTATACATATATTTTGTACTAGTTACTATGTTTACTGTAGGCCTATTGTTTACTATGTTTTAGATGTTTTTGTACTTGTTTGGTTCTTCCTTTTGAGTCTCGATTCGCCGGTTGTACATGACAAGGAGTAGGGTCGCCTGTTCAGCCTCGTGGGTTTTCTCCGGCTCCTCCGGTTTCTCCCACTGCTAAAGACCCCTATACGCGCAAGCGAATTATTGAAATAAAATTGAACCATATGTGCCGTGAAATGACTCAGTTTGTGTCAAGTGGATGTTGAACCCCCATTTCTCTCTCTCTCCTTTTGAGTCACTTAACGAACTCTGCACATGGTCATCTGTACTTCTATCATTTGTGTATGTATAAGTCCTTTTCTTGAAGTAAATTACTTTCATAAATGCACAACCCAAATACCTCACATAGGGTTAGTGCTGAATGATAAGGCCAGCTCAATTTTTCGTCATAGGTCACGAGATGTAAACAGGGCCTAGCGCTAATCCCAATCCTAACCCTGGACCTAGCCCCAATGCTTCAGTCTCGCCAACAATCACGTTCCCTAACCTTATTTACCTCTCAGCAACCTTGACAAATACTGAGCTGGCCTTAATAAATAGATTTAGTCTTACATAGGTTTTTACAGACTAGGCTTTTGTTAAGCAGGAATTAAACCCAAACTGTAAAGTAAGCATTTTAATTTCCAACACGAGCCAAGAGAAAATAAGTATCCATGTGCTTTAATTAGTGTTAATTGTTAGCTGCTATCTGTATATTTGTAAAAAGTTTAGAGAATGGTTAGAATTTGAATTCAGCATTAATTTTAGATGCAGCAGTGATGTTCTACAATATATTTCATGTCGAGTCATAATTTATGTTGAAATGTGGAATCTTGGAATGTCAAGATTCCATTGTTGTTTTAAAAATAAATTAAACAGAAAATCGTCTCGTCGTTTATTACCAGAACTACCACCCCCATTCCGGTAGCAAAGCAAAATGTCAACGATCTTTGGTCTACCATTCCGCATTATTTTCTGGCCCAAAGCATCCTCGTTCGTGTTGATGTCAGTTTATTAGACTCGGAAACCTCAAGACTTCAATAGACTTTTGGAACTAACATTCCTCTCCAGCCAGTTTTGGCAGCATATAGACCCCCTCCACTGTGACATTTACCATTATGTTTAGCTATTTTTACACGGCGCAGACGCAGTTCATATCAATAATAACGATCGAGAGACTTTCGACAAATAACTACTCGGTCAAACTGAATCGCAGAGAATTTTTTCCGTCATCAAACTGGTCACAGTCACTAACTATCTCACAACGAAAAAACGTGAAACCGTCACAAGAATAACATCAGAGTGTATGTACCTTAACCTGTGTGTAAATATATTTTAAGACATTATTTATTATTATGATATGATAATACACAAATAAATTAAAAACGTCATCTGACATAATAGATATAAATAGATTGACCATATGATATTGGTATGAAAAATCGTTTTTCTTCGTAATATGCAATATTAGAGTTAATGTCCATATAATGGATCTTATACTCTCTTCAATTCTAAATATATATGTGGCGATGAATTGGAGAACATTATAATGTAATATTTTGGTTATGTTCATATAATGATAGTTTCTATATTTGGATTTCTACTATGTTTGCCGTCACATTACACACTACTTAATAAATAAATATATAATTTGCATTTATAATATACATGTTGATAAATTATGCGTTGATATCACAGAAATAAGCTATTATGTGTCTAATATCATATACCGGTATAAATAGGGGTTATATAGTATTGCATCTTACTGTTGCTGAAGTCAGTCTTGCGGTCTCTAACATATCATGTCCACCCGTATATCCAGAAGCAGTGGTCACAAGAGTACTATTTCATTAGCTGGTGTTAAAACATTTTTTGTGTATTTCGATTATTAAATCAAGAAGACAAGAATAGTCCGCCGAAACAAACTGATTGTCTAATTACGTTTTGTAGACTAATCAAACACGCGACCATAATGCATGTTTTTGATAGTGTAATATTCGTATCCATGGTTTCAAGAATATGCACTACCTGTGCCACTCTGTTGATATAATTACGCCTCCTGTCAAAAGTACAGACGGCTCTGGGTCACCGCTCCCAACGATAGTGTGTACTGTGTAGTAGAGCCACGGGTAGGATTGATATGTTAGAGATAGCGGTTACGACAAGGTGGTTCTCTATGTGAATCAGGAACTATTTATTTGCCTAACCATCTTTATTTCTTCTTTTAATTTTCTGATTTCCACCATTAATTTTCCGTTTTCTTCAGATAACTTAGCGTGCTCCTATAATTATATATATAAAAAAAAAATAACATTGAAAATATGTAAATATGTTACATCTTTAATTGTTTACTCTCATGTGTTGTTACGTCTGTATATATATTATTTATAATACATGACCATATACCCTATAAAAAATAAATGTGTCTTTGCTTTGGTATCGTTGGGAAAAGCGTTAGTTCAATTGTTCGAAACATTCTATAGATTATAGGCGGGACATAATCATTCCGATGAGAGAGAGAAATGGGTTTTAACGTTCACTCGACACAAACTAGTTCATTTCGGGACTAACATATGATTGAATTTTATTTCAATAATTAGCTTGCGTATAGAGGTCTTTAGCAGTGGGAGGAAACCAGAGGACCCGGAGAAAACCCTACAAGGTTGGGCAGGCGACCCTACTCCTTTTCACCTACAACCGGGGAATCGAAACTACCCCAGTTGACTCAATGACAGACCTTATGCTACACCGCACACGCGCTAGCCATTCCCCCCCCCCCTCATTTCCGATGACTTTCGACCACTGCTGAGTCGTAATGACATTTCAATATGATGACAGGTAACGGCGAATAATGTCTGGATACCTGTTAGCTGTCAGTTAAAGACGACTATAGTTTGATGTGTCACATACTTAGAGAATGCATAGAAAGCAAGGAAATGAGAGAATTTTCAGAATAATTATTTATGAAAATATGTGAATATTCCGACGTCAGGAAACCAATGTAGTGGAATGTTATGGGATTATTATACCTGTTCCAGTAATTGTATCCGGTTTTTGAACTTTTCGCGACTTTTTCTTGCTGCTTTTTTATTCTGCATCTTTCTTGCTGTAATTTTCTCTATTTCATCGCGCGAAAGCTATGAAAATATATATTTTAAAAATTTACAGACATTTAAAGTAAATAGTCGCTATTATTCTAAATTTCATTTACATGTAGGCAAATCCCCTACCCCTTTTTCAATCAACAGATCGTTCTATAAAACCTTACGGATTTTACAGTATCTTCATTCCGGTATAACTTATATAAAGATTTTCCATTTTCAAGAAAATTAATAATCCTGTATGACCAAAAGCTCGTCGATTAAAGGTCTACACATTCTAAATATGAGTTTTAATACGTTTGTTAACCTTTGTATCCACGTCCTCGACCTCTATTTTGTGTTAACCTCTATTATCAATTAGAAACTAAATGTATTTCAGAATCTTTGATTATAGAGTTGGATATAGAGTATTAAATTATATCACCTACCTCATATTTTTTTTCCTCTTTTTCCCACAGCGATTTCATATCTATTTCATTTTTAGAATTCTGAAGTCGTTTTAAAACCAGGCTTTGCAGGGAACTTTTTATCTCTTTAGGGCGCGTTATAACCAAGGTAGACATTTTCTGTAAATAGATATATTCAAAATAATATTGAACTGGTTTACTACGTTGGTGTATTGGGCTAAACGACAGGACGTTATTTTTTATAAATCAAGCAGACGACGCAAAATGAACTGATTATGAGGTGGATCTATATTTAGTAACTACAATGGCGTAATCGTGTTACTAAAAATAATGATAGTCTCATACTTATTTCTGGCCGTCATCCTGGTACAATCAAACAATAAATAAAATAATTTGTTTAGAAATAGTTGACTAGAGGTCGTATACATTTCATAAAAGGAATGTATACATATATTATTTAGGGCTGGTATTTAAAATGTGTGTCCGACTTTTAACACAATGAGAATCGATCAAAAGGGACAGTACGAGCAGACGACATGGGTTTATTTGCATGTAATACCTAAAGGATCAGGGTATAAATTACGAAAATTGATCACTGCACGCAGTGTCCTGCACGCGGCTTGCTTAACGATGATTCTAAGCAAAATGCATTCTACCATGACGTGTCCATTGCTGATCAAGGGTGTATTATGGTTACCACAGAAATTCTTGTGTGTGTGTGTGTGTGGGAGTGGGTGTGTGTGTGTGTATGTGTGATTTGAGGGGTAGTGTGTGTGCAGTTGTTCGAAAAATAATGAAATGAAATGGGGTTTAACGCCCTACTGTTCTGCTCCGAACTGGGCTAATGTCCGGGAAATTTTGCCCGGACAGCGGCACTACGACCTACTCCTATATCGAATTCCAACTGTCAAGGGATCTTTTACGTGCACGACAATGTGTACACAGGGCCTCGGTTTTTCGTCCCATCCGAACGACTAGACAGCTGTCCTTGTCAGGCCCTCCGTCACATCACTGACAAGATCGTCAAGCGGTCAATAGAAAGTGCAAGATAACCACATCACACAAACAAAACCCATAGTTCCTGTACGTATGGCGTACATCGCAGGGGCGTGGTGACCTATGATTTTTGATGAGGAACAAGATCCAGTCCGGGCCCCCCCAAAACAATATTTATATGTGTGTGCGGGGGTGAGTTGGCACCGGATAATATTGGGCTGTGTGGAATATACTAGAGTCGATTTGTAGCATATCTGACCCACGGTATATGCTTCACACTTGTTGAGCATTATGATTATGATCATAATGATGAAAATGGCATTGAAACCGCATGATTTTTTCTGCCATTTGCAAGAGGCACAAAAACCCAAGGGAGCACAAAATCTCAAAACCATGACACCAAGCTCGTTATTGCGTCCCTGTCACTCAGCCCCTGGTACACCGACACGGCAATCTACGCGGTTTAAGTTCACATTTTTTCAGATACCCTTGCCTATGGTAGAACGGAGGCTAGGGAGGTTTTTGGGTGATTTTCAAAATATATATATATATGTATACGTAAAATCATAGATATTAATTTTGTGTTTTTCTCCAGCACACTCTGTGGTTTAAATTTACAAAAATCGCAAATAGCACACGCAATATCATTTTTGGGACCAGAAATTTTGAATCGTGGATTTTGAATCGCAATACGGCGAATGAAAAAAACATATTTGGGCCACTACTTGTTCAGTAATGATTCCTCCTACTTACTGACGAATTTTATGCTACCATAAAAGTACAAAAATAGCAAGTCAGCATTTGGCGATGCATGAGATCTTTATTACTTGCCATCTACACAAAAAATAAAATAATTATTGCAAGCTTGTAGTTTATCCAGATTATATTTATATTTGCACATTTTAAGCCCCCTTGTAATTTTCATTTTCGTGGGTGTATGGTATTTCAGAGAAATTTTAGTATGCCGCGTGAGTAGGCTAATAGCTCCGACCTCTGAAATCAAGGTATGTTTCTAAGCAGTGACATGTGTTTTTGTTTTACTTTTGTATATAAATAATTGTTGATAAAATATGCGGGTTTGTTTCACTATTACTTGATCGTAAAAGAAAACTTGTGATGTTTCTGAATGTTGGTATGATTAGAATCGGATTCTGTCAGTCCACTTTTTTTTATAAAAAAATGGTGAATTAAAAACTATAAGACACCTGTACGGGCCTTCATACTCCCGACCCATCCTCGTCCCGTTGGAGGCTCTCGCCACCCTCAGGAAATCCGGGGGCCAGTGATTATGCCAGCGTTTATCGCTCTAGGTAGACTGACTGGTATGCGATTATATTAAAAACGAAACTGAAAGCCAAACTTTTACCTTCGTTTCGTTAGGCGCTAAAATTTCGATATTTTTGTCAATTGCGTATTTTTCCCGACCAATGACAGCGTGATTCGTTAATATCTCCGGAAAAAGGTTGTATTTTGGGTATTAAAAAAAAAATAAACGAATGGTTTATGTGATGAAATCATTCTCAGGGTTTTTGTTTTTCCATTTGTTGGCTTGCTTAAAATTTTCGGTCTGAATTATGTACATCTGATTATTATTACATCAGTAAAACTAAAACGTAGTAAATGTATTTGGTATGTCATATGTTGTGTTTGATCTCAGTTTATATGTTTTAAAAGAGTGACCCCCGGGTCCCACAGATATATTATGCCTAAATGACGTTAGAAACCGCGTATCTTTCAAAAAAATTCGTGCCCGGGGGAAAAGACCCCCTTCCCCCGCCGAGTTGCTTGTGCCTCCGGGCCCTGTTGTGGGCCCTGGTTTCAAGGTCCGCGACGAAGACCTAGCCACCGCACTTGTACTTTATGTTAAGCCCACGAAGAGCGTCAAGTTAGCCACGACGACCCCAAAGGAGCGAGAACGGAAAGTACTAGGTGAACGAAAGTGCAATAGCATAAGTTGTCTGACTAGAACCGACCGGGACGAAACCTTTCGCACGACCGAGCCCTTCCTCCGAGACCATACGTCTTTTACGTGTCAGGGACGCGCTCTTCATCGACGCTTTATTTAACGGTTTTCCATATGCAGACACTGAATGTTATGCCGGGTGTTGCATGGACATTATATGTCATGTGATTTTTTCAAATTGGGTTTTAGAAAATATCAATTTTGTCTATATGTGATAAGCCAGTAATTATTGTGTTAATTATCTCAAAGGGAAATAACTCAAAATACAAAGTCTCACATAGGGCTAGCAATTTTTTGCCCATTGACTTCAATGTTAAATGGCTGTAACATCACAGGCTGTAGCTTTTTTCTCAACATTCCGTTGGTTCCAATCTTATAGGCACAATGGGGACAACATTTGGCTATCTCCTCATCATAATTTTGTAGGGGGTTGACCATTTAGATTTTTTGCTACACGGATTTGAAGTTGACTGGGGTGAAAATCCCACTTCCGACACAATGATTGCTCTGCAGAAAGACACTTTACACCCCCTATCCCTCCGCTGTAATATCATCAGTATTACCCAAAACTGCTATGAAATTGCAAATTTGATCCCTTTTCTCCAATTCTAGACCAAAAAGTCAACCCAAAAATGCAGGAAGAGGGGAGAAAAAAATTAAGGGAAAAATTGTGTATTTATAACTCGCACTACTAGTCTTAGTCCATTAACAACTTTCCATAGTTGTTCTTTCAGCTAATTCGCTTGGGTTGTTTTTATCTGAGTCTTTTACTGTTTTAGCTCTAGAAGAATTAAGCTGAAAATTTTCAAAAATATTGGCAGGCCTATATATGTAGCCTCTTTAAAAACCAGTTTTTACTGATCGGACCTTAGACCTTGCCTTAACCCTAACCCTTTCAAGATACGAGTAGGCCGTATAAGGACTGTCCGGCGTTTGGTCGTCTTCTTTAGCCCAGTCCGTGAAAAAAATAGAACGTAAAACCTAATTTCATGTCGTTATGGGTGCATACTTAGAAGAACACACCTGAGAATACATCGTTCCTACTGGTACCCACCCCCCCCCGCCCCACGCCGCCCCGCCCCGCCCCGCGCCGCCCCACCCCTCCTTTTCAAAATGGGCGAACATTAACATCGACTGATCTTTGTAGGGCACACAACTATTTTCCCGATTATAACGATGTTGCTCCCATTTTGACATGTTTATTAAACTGTAATGGGAAAACCCACCATAATTATTCAGTTGTGTAATTTATATCGACTGATTACACACATAGTAATATTATTAATAGCTACAAACAGCGACATGTCACAACAATTGTATAGGCTGGAATACATCTGACCTTAATAACTATAGACCTCTGTTTTCATAATGGTTGTTCAATGTTAACCCAACGATAGAGACAAATTTACCGCAAAATTGTTTAATAATGGAGTTATAACGGCAATTGGTTGTTGATGGTTAAAATCCATATAATGAGAATGCAGAATAAGTTACTGTTCCGTAAGTGATATCTTTAAACACATTTTTGAACGATTTACCTTTCATTTGTAAAATATCATAGTTATTTTCCAGTTTACAATTACCTTTAATCTGGACTTTTCATGAGCCCATCCGGTGGGCGTATGTCTGGTTGGCTGACCATATTTGTTTTAAAAATTTACTCGGTAGATTTTGTTGACATTGATTTTAGAGCTAACACGAATGGATATTTGTAAATTCCTGACAAGAATCTATATTTCAAATAGTATTGACTATAGTATTTTCACGGAAGCTTTCAGTTCTCCGATAAAATGTATTTTTCGAGAAGCATGGGTCGTGGCGACCTAGCGTTGTGCAATGAATGGCATTCTCTAATTTCCTAGAATAGTGCAGTGTTACAAATTGTACAGTACAAGCAAATGCATAATAGATCGCGTCCTATTAAAGACTTATACAAACCGCGAGAGAAGAAGGAAAATATTGTTATCAAATTCATAGACAGTATACACATATACTTATAAACATACATAAGAAACATTGATGGGGACTTTCAAGATTGGGTTAACCAATTTTGTTATTTTTTACACAGCAAAAGCTTTTTTTTTATTATTCAAACTTGTTTCGTTTCCTTTTTATGTGCCAAAATTGATATGAAGTCGTATATAGACCGGGAGCCCAGGGGGTCAACCTAGCTGAAAAGTGTACCAATTTTCTCCTATATGGTATCAATGTATGTATATCTGGTATCATCAGAATGTAAGTCTGCCGGGTTTCTGGTGGTGGGTGTGGTATTCCACGCCCTAAATGCCATGATCCCCAACTAGGCTAGATTAGCTCAAAAGTGTATGGCATTTTGGGCGAGGAATACCACACCCACCACCAGAAACCCGGCAGACTTACATTCTGATTATACCAGATATACATACATTGATACCATATAGGAGAAAATTGGTACACTTTTCAGCTAGGTTAACCCCCTGGGCTCCTGCTCTATATATTACTGTCGCCCATTAGTGAGACGAATAGTCCTATTGGAGTTAAACAATTCCAGGGAACTGAGTCTAGAGTTGTTACCATTGTTTCACTTTGTAGAATCTTGTGACCCCTCTAGTCAATTTAGAAATTATGTTCATTATAAAATAGTTGTAGTTGGTGGTTTGGTGACAGCTCCCATAGTAGTTATATCGCAGACAAGAAAAAAGATAGTAGAATTTTGCTCTTTTATATTAGAAGATGATTTCACAATCTTTTCTTTAGAATTAGGGTGATCGCCTACTAAAATGACGCCATTGCTTATAGATTCCTTTAACCAGACCTAGCAAAATATCGAAATGGTCAATCCCTTTAAATATTTTCATCAGATAATTGTGACATATTTCACTGCTTGTTGTATTAAGATCCTCGAAATGTTCAAAATCACGCTATTGGACAAGAAGTGGCATCGGATTTAAATTGAAGTCGATGGGGAGCGAATTACTAGGCTGAGACCTTATCACTTCCAGGGTTAATGCCCTTGGTCATTTTATACAATCTTGTGGACGCTCTAACGACAAAAGTTTATGCAAGCTTTTTCAAATCTATAGGTATTGTTTAAATTAGTTCAACAAAGACACCACACTATCGAATTTCAACAATTATAGCTGTTTGAAATATTGGCTTCCGATTCGGTATTGGATGTTTTCCAAGTAATAGTAATATATATTTACATTGTAGTTAATAAAACTAGATACGCGTGAAAGATTTTGCAAATATTCCATCCTAAACCCATACATCTGTGTTCGTTTTCGAAAGAAATACAAACTCTTAGTTTTCACGTGAGCTTGCCGGTAAGTCCCCAAATTCTAATTTACATGCGTGCATTGATAACCATGTCAACATTAACTACCGATTGGGTAACTGTGAATTTCTCAACTTGACATTTAATTTCCATAATTAAACCCACTTAATACCTTGTGAAATATGAAACGCCTTCAACGATTCAACGAACGGCAACCCCCGGAGCAGTATTTATTTAGTCCTAATACAATTTAAACAAAGGTTCTCGTTTTTTTTCTAATTAAAATAGGTTAACAAAATTACATAACTATATATACAAAATGGATCAAGACAGTGTGCATGCAGGAAAAGAAAAAAGAAAAATGCCTATCAAAGATCAGAATAAAATACGACAGAACTGGTGCTATTTGAAGTCAAATCTTAGGGATCACGTAGATTACATAAAAGATTCCTTATTTGAGAAATTTGTGATCGATAGAGAAGATAAAGAAAAGGTTGAAACGATTAAAAAAGAGGACAAAAACGCCGCAATAGAAGTATTACTCAATAAATTAACATGTTATGGATCATTAGAAAAATTTATAGATTGTTTAAAAGAGAAAGGCTTTGTAGATGTGGTGAAAAAAATATGTGAAGGTAAGTTTAAATATACATTCCCACGAAAGTATTGATCAGGTAGATATTTCCAAAAACAATATGGCAATTTTGGTATATCTAATCTGACTAGGAAATACCCGACCGATAGACGCGCACACGACGAAAATTTGCTGGTACTCATAATGAACACTTCTTATGTGTTGATCTTATATGGTTAACGGTTGTGAGAACACCGGAATACTACTGAAAAAAGAAGTTGACAAATGATGATCCGGGAATTAACTTAGGCTTCGAGTTTTATGGTAATTTCATAGCGACTAACGACAACAAATACTTGTTGTGAATGACCCCCCCCCCCCCACACACACACACACACACTCATGTGAAGTGATAAACAAACCTGATTCTCGCGGTATGGGGCAGTTTTCTTTACATTAAAATGGTTTGAGAGCGATTCAAAGCAAATCGTTGATATATAAATTAGTTTGAATATGTTATAGTCCAAATATATCATCTATTCAAGCAGTTCGTACTCGTGAAGGCATCTTTAAGGCAGTGGAAAATATGATTGTGTGAAAATTTAATTGCTCAAGATGAAGGCATTAATGACAATCTTTGGGATCTGGATCAATTTAGACATGGCCCATAGAGAGAGAACCGCATTCATACTAAGATGAGTCGTTCTACTCCAATATGCTTAAATCAGATGAACAGTGCAGATGCCTTGGATACAATGCAGATTTGATTAAAATCAGATGGAAAATATAAACTCCAATGCAAATAATTTGGATATATTACTAGAATTACTAAATCTCTTGAATATATTATAGATACATGCACAAACTAGACGTACTGTTCCATTAAAACCGGATGGAAAATGTCCAAGATGATTACAAAAAATGTGAACGGACGGAAAGCTTATGCTCATTTAAAATGTCATCCTAAAATAGAACACCTTTTTTTAAATGCAGAAGATGGTAGCCTACTGAGTGTATAGACAGCAACACTCAGCTTGGTCTATTTTCATTTTCGTTATCAGTTTAGTGTCTACTGCTATTTTCACGAACTTTTTATACGCTTTATTCCAGGAGAAAATGAAGAAGTCATGGTAAAAACAGGCAATGGTGAGTAAACTATTAACTGAGAAAGAACATATAGCTCAAAAGTAAAAAAACAATATGTAAAACTGACAATAACTTTCTATCCAATATATTGTCAAGTAATCGGGTAGTAGACGGCATTTGTTCTAGGAACAGTTTGATTTGTAACTTTGTATACGTCCCCATGTCTTGCTGGGTTGCAGCTACAGTAATACGTCGTATGCCAAATATCTGTGGACTCTGGAACTAGCAAGCAATTCGTATATTGGCTATGAATAGTCTTCAACTTATATGGAAGAATCAGTGTCTATAAAAATTTAACTAATAAAATCAGAGACGGTGTCCTGGGACGACACAGACAGACCTAACTAAGCGCACTTTTACAAACGATTAGCCATTACTTAATGCACACTACTTTAAACGTCCAGAATTAATAAAACCAAAGCAATCTTGTCCCTTTATGATCAAATATTTTCAATTGTAGAAAGAGAAATACGAGTTGTGGTTATTGGCAAAACTGGAGCAGGAAAGAGCGCATTGGGAAACAGTCTGCTCAATCTAGAAGAGGGTGAAGCATTTATATCGAAAAGTAGCCCAAGTTCCGTTACAAAAATTAATCTCCTAAAAGAACGAGTTGTGCGTACAGAGGATGGAAATATTTCCCTAAAAGTATTAGATACTCCTGGGCTATCAGACACCAGAAAAAACAATACAGAAACCGCCAAAGAACTGGTAAAATGTATGGTCGACTTAAATCCAGGGCCACACATATTTATTTTCGCCTTGAAATTAGATAGAATTGGGGAGGATATACTGAATAATATTCAGTTTCTGAAAGACACGTTTGGGAGTTGTCTTAAAACATACGGAATCATAGTTTTCACTGGTAAAGACACTATAGATGTGGAATTTAACATATGGTTAAAATCAGCCAGTGAAGAATTCAAACATTTTCTTAGTCATTATTGCAATGGTCGGTATGCTTTGATCAATAACAGAGAAAAAGATCATCAAATAAAAGAACAGCAGGTGAGAGATATTATAAAACTTGTATTAGACACCATCCAATTCAACAAGAATGATTATTATAGAAATGAGATGTACGAAGAGGCTAAAAAGGTATACGAAGAAAAATTAAAACGAGCAGAGGAAGAAAAAACAAAGATTGAAAGAGAACTCAAAGAACATTTAAAAAGTGTGGAGAATGAAAATGTGACGCTAAAAGAACATCTCGAACAACAAAAACGTGCCACTGACGATTTGCAACAGAAGAACCAACAATTAAAACAGCTCACCACTGAACTCGATAGAATTAAAAATGAGAGTGAAGAAACCCGTAAGAAATATGAACTGTTAACAAAAGAAAACGATGAGTTAAAACGAATAGGAAATATTTACAATTATGATAATGTAAATGTAGCAGGCAGGTATGGTTTCATCGCAGGAGAGCAATACCAGGATGCATCAATAGAAACTGTTCAGAATACACAACGGTACACCAATTCAAATCTAAAAAGAAAGATAGTTGATCGCCTGACACCCGAAGAAGTCCCCACCCGGAAGAGAAAGCAAAGCGGAAACAAGTTTTCCAAACAATTGCGGGACCAAAATTTGGCAAATACTGAGTCATCTCAACAACCCGACGACACTCAACAAACTTCTGAGAATCGTAAGCAAATCTTTAGTCACTAATGTTTCCAAGAAATCCGAATTCAAGTAGTTTTCATCTTTTATAGGATTATCTGGTTATCCAGCAAATACATTAATAGCCGTTCAAATTTTGTTGTGAGCGCTCTACAGTTCTTGTCGGATAGTTTTACAGATTTTATAGGGATATCTTTCCGGCTTGTAGCAACCGTACAGGACCAGGGTCATTTGTGCAAAAGACGTTGTATATTTCGAAGTTATCCACACACACATATCACCCATTCACGTTCAAATTCATGAAATCTCTTTTGATGGTCAAAATTCGACATGAGGAGATTGTGTGCTGGGAAATAATGAAGAACCCGTGGGGTTACATTTGGAAGTTAATTATCTTTCCTCTAATACTTTTACTTTTAACACTTGGAACCCAGTTCATGATGGATGTTTTGACAAGAATATTTAGCCCTAACAGGTACGGTTTAACTGCCTGTTGGTGGAGGAGGTGTATAAGGTTGGCTTATAATAGGTCCCCGTCTATGTTTCTTTTTCTAAGTAGCGGCCTAAATACCACGATTATTTAGATCATTAGATTAAAAGCCTACATGCTTTGTTGGCAAAATAGTGTGCTGACCACTTTCAAGAATTGTTGATTTTCTTTTGTTCGCATTTATACCATCTATATCACTATTATATCAATCAAAGCTTATATTGGTCTGATTTCAGAAATAGAAATGGCTGTGCCTCCGAAATCAGCAGATATTGACACAGTTACTGAAGATATAACTAATGAAAAAGTTGATATGGACCTTTATAAGGTTTATACATCACTACATTCTCCCTGTCGATATGGTACTCTAGAAAATGTAAAACATTTGATTGATATTGGTGCAGACGTAAATGCAACAGAAAGAAGGAATATGACTCCTTTAGTATATTGTTCTCAATCACTTATAGATCCAGTAGCTAAAATTCAATTATTGATGTCTCATAAGGCCAATATTTATCATCGAGATGTAAACGACGATAGCATATTGCATCATGCATGTAAATCGGGTAAACTGGAAACTGTCAAATACCTCATACATGAAATTGGTATGGATGTAAATAGTACCAATTTAAAACACGAAACGCCCCTTTTTTTCTGTTGTCGGTCCCAAATAGAAGCCAAAGAGAAGATTAAATTATTAGTAGAAAATGGAGGTAATAAAGATACCATGGATATCTATAATAATAAAATTATACATGTTGCATGTAAAAATGGAGAACTAGAAATAGTTAAATATTTAATAGATGAATTGAATATCAATGTAAATACTAGAGGTTTTGAAAATCAGACCCCACTAATGAATTGTATATGGTCGAGTATTTGTCCTCTTGATAAGATCAAATTATTAGTAGAAAATGAAGCTAATATAGATACCATGGATATCAATAATGATAAAATTATACATGTTGCATGTAAAAATGGAGAACTAGAAATAGTTAAATATTTAATAGATGAATTGAATATCAATGTAAATACTAGAGGTTTTAAAAACCTGACCCCACTAATGAATTGTATATTGTCGAGTATTTGTCCTCTTGATAAGATAAAATTCTTGATATCTAGAAAAGCAGCTGTTGATTGCGTGGACGATACACATAGCTCCAATGCACTTCACCTTGCATGTTCTTTTGGAACTGTAGAAGTGGTTGACTATCTTAAAGATATTATTGATGTTAACAGCAAAAGCTATCGGGATAGGACACCCATATTCTATTGTTTCGAATCAATAACAGAACCTGTAGCTAAAATCAAATCCCTTGTGTCTAGGGGAGCTGAGTTCAATGTTGTTGATAGTCTAAACGTAACAGCATTTGAACAGGCTTGTTTATGTGGTACATATGAAACAGTACAATATATGATACAAATGAGTTTTGAAACAAATACTAACGACAGGATGTTGACATCTTCTAGTGTATTTTTTTGCAGTGAGTCATCGATAAAACCTGTTGACAAAATCAAATTATTACAATCTATGAATGTTAATATCAAAGACCGAGACATAAATAACGAGAGTATATTACACAGTGCCTGCAAACTAGGCATTTCTGAAACCGTAGAATACTTACTAGACTTTTTTCCGGAATTCAACGACGAAGAATACAAACTATTGATAGAATTTTGTAAAAGGTCAAAGTTTAATTCAGAAGAAAAGGTGCGTTTGTTGACCCAAAACTATCAAGGATAAAGCAAAAGACATGTGTAGATCAATATCTTTAGAACTGTCTGTTGTTATCATCCCGCGCCGGACGATATCTTTGTGCACAAATTGCCCTATTATAGTAGTTGTGCCTTCTGCTGATTAAACCTTTTTCGGATTTAATATTTGTTGTGTTTCCATGGAAACAAATTTGATTTAGGGTTTGGTATACAAGTATTATTCCTGGTTTAAGATATCATTATGAAACTATGTACAGTTGTCTCCTTTGCTAATATGAAAATTGTTTTTCTATAGAAATACACTGTCTTTTCGGTATGCAGTTATTATATATTATTCCGAAGCATATCTCAGAAACCATCCAAGATATCTTTATTAACCTTTCTGAGATTTTGTTTTTATGCTTTGAATATAATCTATATAGTGTGAGCATGTAGCTATCCAATGTTTGATATTTTGATAGTGCTAGTTTTTAATTGAACTCCGTTTATGTACTCTATAACCAAGTAGCATTTATATTGGGATGCCTGATACTATTTTTTATACATCTTATAATATGTATACTATTGGTAATTAGTTGTTCAATACAGATAATATAATGATTGCGTATCCATGTACCTTACAAAGCACGTCCAAGTTTGCAGATATTGATGATTTAGTCATCTTAGGTTGTTTTTTATTGATTCAGAAGGCGGGATTATTATAAAAAGACAACACAAATCATCAGGTGTAGTTCAGCTCTGAACGTAGGTCTCATTACACTCGGCCTGTACGTTCAGGAACTCTCCTATTGAATCCTTGTCGAAATTCCAATGGCTTCCCAGTCAATTTTACTGGGCAACTTTGTACTGCTATACAGTCGCGTGTCAGTCCCTGTGAACACATGAACAATATAAATGAACATCTTAGTGAGAAAATAAGGCCTTGCTTACGTCGCTAGAACCAGTATGAACAACACAACACGCTGTTAAAAAATACATCTCCGTCTTCTAACCGACTTGGCGGACTTCATTGAAAGGGTAACGCACAAATTTACTAATTCGGCCATATAAGATGAAACGAAATTTAGGTAAGCCTGGGGGAAAACGGGGTAAGCAAGGTCTTATTTTCTCACTAAGATGTCCCTTTACATTGTACAAGCGTTCACACGGATTGACACCCTACCGTTTAGCAGTAAAAAGTTGCCCAGTAAGATTGACTGGGGTGGATCTCAGTTTCGACAAGGATTCAATAGGAGAGTTCCTGAACGTACAGGTCGGGTGTAATGAGACCTACGCTCAGAGGTGAAGAAACTGGGGTCGATCGCTTGTAAACTATATGACATTAACATAATTACCGGTTACTACAGACTGTTGTTAGAAATGTACTAAGTTTTAAATGAAATGAACTGTTATATATCATTTATGCAGTATAAATTATATTTTTATATCTTTTATCTTCTTAATTTATTACCATATTTACTTAAATTCTTTATGAAATGGATAGTATTGCGGGTATTGCATTTAAGATCTTCAATTCATGTCGCATGCTGTAGAAAATACATTCGTATATTTCACACACAGCAAAGCCGTGTCTGTTGTTGCATGTTATGTCGTGGATTTATTCCAATATGCTTCGTCAAATAAGGTAAGGCCACAACTTGAAATTCTGAGAGAGGGAAAGAGAGGGGGGGGGGGGTAACGCCCACTAGATACAAACTATGTAATTTCGAGACGATCATATGGTTCAATTTTATTTTAATAATTCGTTTGGGACCCCGAATAAATCTGACGGGGTTTGACAGGCTATCCTATTCCTTGTCATGTTTAAGCGGGGAATCGGAACCACAGACCTTATGATCGATAGCGCATTCGGTCATACCCAACCTCGTGGTTTAAATGAGAAATAAAATTGTTTGTTTTATTTAGTTTAAAGTGTGTGGTCATCAGGAAAAACATATTTTATTATTTCCCATTCCTTATTGAATGTTGCCCTAACCTTTCTTCGTTATACGTCCAAAGGTTGGAGTATAGACAATGTTGAGATCTGACAGAATTTATTTCTCGGCCGACGGATTGGATAAAAAAATGAAACCAAATTTAGTATCCTGATTATACCCAAACGAAATGTATAAAATTACCACCTTTGAACTCAACGTCAGTTAATTTAATCAATTATATTAACCCATGGAAACTCTCAATTTTGGCCCAAGCAAAGCGGCCATGTTACGAAATCGGTCCTTAAACCCCACTTAGTCTTTTAAGAAAGGTAAAACATAGTATTATACGTTTTCAGGAAATGGTGGGTATGTTTATTGCTGGTCGTATTTACAACGTCCTTGATTCTGAATAATAGCCGACAACGGGATTCGAAAAGAGAAAGCTGTGTGCATGCTCCCTCAAATGTAGAAAGGACAAAATTGTATGACCCAAATCCATATCAACATGTTGTTTTTATCAAGGTACACAAGGCAGCCAGTACAACAGTTATGAATATTATGTTACGCTATGGATTGAAGAAAAATCTAACCATAATGCTACCTAGTACTGGGACCGCAATAAATCAAGCGGGGGCGGTGTCTGAAAAATATATTCTACCATCCGTCACCGGAAAATATGATATATTATGTAATCACGTTATCTATAATCGGACAGCTATTGGTTCGTTTTTCCCGATAGATACAAAATATGTTACAGTTATCCGTGAACCTTTTAATCAATTTGTGTCTGCTTTTCAATATTATCGATACGTTCAACCCTCAAAATATCTTATGAAGTTTTCAAGTTCAAATCCGTTACAAGAATACTTATCTAATCCACCTAAATACGAAGGAAAAAATCCAATTTATTCGTTTACGAATAATCGAATGAGCATTGATTTGGGTTATTCGATCGCAGATGTTAAAAACACGACTTATATAAAAGGTTTTTTGAAAATGTTAAATAAGGATTTTGACCTGGTTATGCTTGTAGAATATTTCGATGAATCAATGATTCTGTTAAGACGAACTTTGAAGTGGCATTTGAAAGATGTACTGTACATATCTAGTAATGTATTTTCGAAGCGAAAGTTCTCAACAAAAACTACGGCTAGTGACAGAAAGGCTTACGAACGATTAGCCACGGCTGATTATGCCCTGTATCAGTACTTTTATCGTATTTTTTGGAGGAAAATCTTCGAGCAAGGAACGGGATTCTTGGAAGAAGTACGGACCTTCAGAAAGCTCCACATGTTGATGTCCGATTTCTGCAGAGATAATACAGAACCATTCAGTATAATTCTAGAAGAGACAGACTGGAATCCTATCATCGTTATCACCAAGCAAGATTGTTATATTATGCTACAGAGAGAAACAAGTCTCATCAATTACATTAAAAGTGATTACGAATATATGGCTAAATACAAAAACTATCATCAATAGTGTAATAAAAATTCCATTTGACTTTTTGTCTTCATTTCATTCTCCTGCATCAATCTTCGTTACCTACTGCATACTTAACTGATACTGATAACACAAAAACATAATAAATGATATCCCATTGAAGGTTAGATATCATTCTAAAGTGACGTTTTATACCGAAAACTAAAAAACAAGACAGTAATGGTTACAACATCTCTAATACTATGCACAGTAAACATACAGTAACGCCATGTCTCATTTAGGTTCCCCTCGTGGAAACTGTACTGCAATTAAACCTGATAAAGAACGAGTGTTGTATATTTGACAGTTTAGAGATTGCCATGTAAATTGAGGGAAGCGTTAGTAATAAAATCAAAATAATTTGTAGCCCTTTCCGCTCAGTAAAAGCAGCAACTATTCTTCCCACGGCCCATCATAAATGCCTTTAGCACATTTGACCACAAACATTAGCCCCGCTACTGATAGCAATCGTGGTCGATTAAGCCCAACTGTCAATAATCAGAAGGCCCGAATGTCTCAGTCATGAATGGTAGTGAGTGGTGGAAATATTCCAATATGGTCGAGAAAGAAAAAAACAAGTTGTTGGCCCATATAGGAAGTGATAAAAAGTGTTCTAGAGAGATTAAGTATACTCTGTCTAGTACACGATAGTTTTAAGCCCGAAATTCTTGGGTAGAAGATACCAATGGATCTAATAATATACAATGGACTTTACAGACCCACACAGGTCCATGCATCAAATTTTAATAATGTAAAACAATATGCCTATAATATTATATTGAAATATAGATTTTATTTCATATCTAAAAAATGTGGTTTTGCAATGGTGTCATTTGTTTTTACTGGTTTAATTTGACTTTGACTTCCATTTTTCGCCGGTTTTACGGATATTACTGGAATAGTCTGAATTCGGTGAGGCATTTGGGATAAAATATCTTCTATCTTGGATTCCGTGTTATTTTGGTTTCCATTTTCTAAAGCAATAAGCTGGGCCTGAAAAAAGGACAATTTATCATTAGAGTCATTCACATTAAAGAGATCAATCGATATTTGTCAAACTTCCACATTCAAGCAATCAAACAACATAAGGAATTCGTGTATACCCCACCACAATAGATCACAATTATAACACCATTCTTAAAAACCAGTGTCTGGGTTATTAAAGGTAACTTATTTGCTATAAAACATTGTGTTCTCTGGATTCTGTATAATACGTATGTCATAGAAGCTATGTCGTGTATAGGCTACTGTATATAATATACTTTGTAAATGTCATGCATCAAGGATACATTTTACGGCTTTTAGATTCCCATATCAAGAACATTACATACACTTTACTTACAGCTTGTTCAGTAACACAGTGACACCTATCAAGCAAACACATTGATTTGTTGTCAGGACAAGCATCAGAACAATTAATACTTTCTTTACATCTAAACCGAGAATAAATACAATGACAACATCCACCATAGCAAACAGCTACACCATCGACACACGAACAGTCTTCGTGGTTTTCACACCCTTGTAATGTCTTATATAATTCTGAAAGATAATTATTAAAGTTGACATTTGAAGGAGGTATGTAAGTATTTTAGATTTCAGAACCTGCGATAACAGCCAAGGTCGAAGCGGACTTTAATCCTTAAAGAACGGACCAACGACGTGCACAGAAATTTTCCTGATAGCTAAACCTACCAATAACGGTAAACCTTATATTAGTGTTTCTAGTCACAGTAGCGGGCATAGCAGCGGATGGTTAACATATTTCACTATTTGTTTTTTCATTATATATTTTACTTCTTTTATTTAAAAAATTACTATTTTTAGTAGATTAGTTATATAGCTAACCTTCTTCTAGTAATTGTACAAGAGTAACAGCCGGAATCCCACCTGAATTTCCTGAAAATATATCATGAAGAACAAGAAAATTAGTTTAGAGACATCCAAAATATTGTTTGCAAAAATGATTTTAGCCAATCACCATGGACCAGGGAGAGGGGTTTTACATAGGCTAAGCCTGTTTCCCAATCCCATTCAGTCATCCTGAATAAAATATTGTTTAAAATACAACATGGGTCAAATCAGACTTCAAATAGAACAGATAACCGATAAAAGGGTTTGGGGGAAATAAAATTTGATACGGATAAAATTGGTGTAAAAATAAACACTTGTAGATGCTATTGGTGTCCAATCCGTTTATTAGCCCACAGAACGTTGCTTTTACAAGCTTGGCTCTATATGATCCAGGTCGAATCACAAAATATAAATTTACTTTATAGGAGACAGACCTCGTTATGGTCCGAGCGAGATTCCCAGACCTGCTTCATAAAAGAATCCAAAGAAACATTATTGTGGCTTACCTGAAAATAACCCAACACTGAACACAATCAAAAATGTAACCTGTAAATCCATTGCAGTTATATTTGAATATCGCTACGCATATACTATAAACAGATATTTATATAACGGTTTAGTTGACATAGTCACTCCTGGGGGTGGGACGTGATATCACAGAATTGTCACATACGTATTCATTAACATCGTATGAGACTTGTGGACACGTTCACCTAAACAGTCAATACCGATTTTTAATTTATGATCACATATATGTTGATTCTCTTGGAACGGACTTTCTTTACCACTTGACGTATAATCAATGTACACTTGCTCTCACCCCAAATTTAGCTCAGATCTTCAGTTTGGACATATAGATTGTCGTCTGCTTTTGATGTCATGTATTTTTATGACCCCCTAGCACTTAACTCTAATCTAGAAAGACGTTTCAGGGAAATTGAGCCATACTTTCGTGTCATAATCTTTCGTAGTTTACTCGAATCGTACAGAGATTGCCGCTTGATCAATCACTCGTCAAAGACGGTCAATGAAAATACACTCATCACCACAAGGGGCTCGGCACCTGTATTTTTTATAATAGGCCTGTCTTTATTTCTATGTCTAGAATGAAACCTACTGGATGAATTAATCAAATGCTCTTGTCTTTACAGTAGTTCTATTACTCTGTAACCATTTTGGTCTTTGTTTAAACACTTTAAAGTAAGTTTACTGGTGACTACATTAAATTGTCATCTTCTGTTGGCAAGGAGTGGCAGTAAGTACCAGCGTACCCGGATGACCACCTACCCCCTCTTTCATTCTTTGTTTTAAAAATAGATCCCATTTAATATTTTCGTCGATTTCTTGACAAACGTATAATCATAAAACAGTCAACTTATTTTATAAACTTTTATATAATAATAATGCCACACAGTGTTACGACATATTGGTATGAGTATGATAAAACGAACAATACAAATACAATAAATACATTGATAATAACATAAAATACGATTGACATAAATATCTAATAATATAGGCCTATGTTTAAGCCTCATGGCATATTAACAAAATAATGTTGTCTATTTTTGAACAATTCCTGTCATCAGTTATTACATAAAAAATAAACATTAAATCTGATATGGAACATGACGGAAATGATCCATTTTTGGAAGGCATTTGTTTGGAAATCATATCGAATTACTCGATCGGGGCGATAGCTCGGTATGGTTCCTTTGTTCTCTTCAAAGATACAAGAAATATGCTTTAACTTTCTACTTTTCTGCACCATTGAGGCTATTATGGGTATGAATTGTGCTATGAGGGTAATTTTGCACGGACAGTGGCGCAATACTCGCATCACAAATTCCAACTGCTAAGGGTTCATTTAAGTGAACGTCAGCATGTACACGGGAACTTGGTGTTTCGTCCCATCCGAACGACTAGACACTGCTCCTTGCCCCCCCCCCCCCACACACACACACACACGCGTTGTCCTGCATCACTGACAAGGGGAAATGTCTCGGGAAACACCGGGGTCGAACTTGGAACTTAGCTACTTCAAAATAATTACACATTGCATTATGTACTTAGCATTGTGGACCTACGTATCTGACAGTTTGCAAAGTAGACTATAATATATACATTATACGGAACGTTCACGAGATCATCTATGGAAAAAATAGCGGAAAGGGGCGGAAATCACCTTAAATATTACATCGAGTCATAATCCAGATAGTTACGATCCTATACACGCCAATATCGAAAAAAAACTTTGGGATATAAGTTTCATCAAAATAGGATAAAAATTCTAACCTTTAGATGGTCCACAAACTAGGTATTACATGCTTGTACACTAATTGCATAAAGGGGAGCGGTCATTGTCGGCCCTATTTTATCGAATTTTTTACAATCAAATACAATATGACTTTTCGTATAATCAGGAGTTGTAAGCAGGATCAAAATCGGACAGAGTGTCCATTACCCTGGTGTTATTAGGCATATTTTTGTCTAGTTAAGCATCACATGAAACCACCACCGACTGCGTTTGTTTTCAAGGGGGGTTGGATGGCTGAATGGTTAGCACGTGCGCGCTGTATCATAAAGTCTGTCATTGAGTCAACTGGTGTGGTTTCGAATCCCCTTTTGTACGCGACAAGGAGTAGGGTCGTATGTCCAACCTCGTGGGTTTTCTCCGGGACCTCCGGTTTTCCTCCCGCTGCTAAAGACCCCTACGGGCAAGCGAATTATGGAAATAAAATTGAACCATTAGTCCCGAAATGACCTAGTTTGTGTCGAGTGGACGTTAAACCCCATCTCTCTCTCTCTCTCTCTCTCTCTCTCTCTCTGTGTTTTCAATGTAAGGGATTTAGAAAAGAATTAAGACTTCCATTCATTGCTGATTAGACAAAAAATCGCTCATGGCAGTTCTCACTGTAATAGTTAAAAACTAGGTAATGTAAAGGGAATTTGCTGAAAATTTCAGTCAAATTGATTCACTCTGAACCGAGAATTTAGCGATTGAATTTTCGGCCTAGCCTCGACCATCATTACTAAAGTCGATTATCCATTTCATGATTAAATCGTGAATGGAACCCGAACAGCAAATCGAAACCTAATCCAATAAACATCTCAGGCTAGCGATTGAGAGGTGATTATGGTCTGGATAAGTTAATTAATGTCTAATTCATAATTTAGATAACATTTCAGGCCTAATTAAGACCAATTTAGCTCTTGCATAATGTATGTTTAATTATCCCTAAAATTTTTGTCACATTTCAACTCGGCGTATGCTCAATAGCGGTCTCTAGATGAATTTACTCTATTGGTTTACTTTGCACGAATCATATAAATTATTAGATGAATTTACTCTATTGGTTTACTTTGAACGAATTATACTTGAGCGGCAAGCTGATCGACTTTTTGGTCGAAAAAAAAATACAACAGTAAGTTGGAAGACTTGCGTGACCAATAACGTAGAAAAACGTCCGTTTTTATTTTCGAAAACGTTTCAGATTTCAATAGAGTTGTTCCATTACCTATTTCACTGTGTTATGAATGCAATGGTAAGCGGTCGTTTATGGTTCTAGGAATTTGACTGAGAAATGAGACTTTAAAAGGGAAATTCTAGATTGGCAATAACAGGTCTATGTATGTAGTATATATTTTCTAAATTATTCATGTGTCCGTCTAATAGGTATAGTAAAGTACATTCTGTTGACAAGGTTGAAACACATTTTAAAATAGGGGTTCTTGGTAACATTGACTTTTAGTTAGGCTTGAGGTGTAAAGCTACTTGAGGGATCGAGTCTACGTGTTATATCTAAACTAGAAAGAATAACATGTCATAACTTCATCAACTCAACTAATCTACTGAACTGACTGAAGAAGTTTATCTCTTTCAGGAGTAGAACACGTCGTTGAGACAGAGGGTTTCCTCTCTAGTCCACACATAACATAAACAGCTTCTCGGTGTTATTATCTGAATTGGTTGTAATGGTTATAGGCTGCAGACTTACCATTACAAATGTACTTCCTAGAACATGTACACAACTACATTCAGTCCTATTTCTTTACTGTAACATTTTGATTCAAATATTGATGGGGTTCTTTTGCAATTTGCATTTAACTATTTGTATATCTCTGCATATCGCTAACGTTCATCAGTTTATCTAAATAATCTTGTTATTGCCAATATAGTATTTTCTAATGAAGTTGTAGGACCGATGTCTACAGTTATTATTGTTCATTTATATTATATGCCTGCTTATGTATTTTACAATGTAATGTCAATAGTGAGTGAACACTTCCGGTTGATCAGAGCACCTGGGAAAATCCTACCTCCTCCTTCCTAAATGGGAGTTGGGGTTGGGTAGCCGGCTTTCAATACTGACCACTCACTCATATCTACATCTTTGTTTCAAATAGGTATACAATATATATACCAGACACTAGAGATTGTCAGAAAAGCCTACACAGATCAGAATGTTTAATATTTTTTCGATATAAATATTCACATTTCAGGACTAACATACGATTCAATTTTATTTCAATAAATATCTTGCGCGTAAGGGTCTTTAGCAGTGGGAGGAAATCCACCACTTGACTCAATGACAGACCTTATGATCCAACATGCACGCGTTAACGCAACTCCCCAATAGCTGGCTCCCAGTATGATAATACCAGACACTAGAGATTGTCAGAAAAGCCTACTAAAATCGATATACATGTAAATATTCATAGTTTATATTATTGTCAGTTGTCTTTGAATAACATAATCCAACAATTTATTAATATTGACATTGCATTTAAATCTATATTATTTATGTTTAATGTCATGTATTTATAATAAACGTTTAGTTTGTTCTGTGTTTTTTTCTGCTGGCTCTCCTTTCCATTTTCAGGGAACTTTTATCTGGCTAGAGTCATCCACAACAAGGAAAACTTTACTGGACTGCAGACTATAAATGATTTGAAACTTTGAAGTGGTGAACTGTTTTAAATGACTTGGAGTTTTAAATACATGTATAACTATAAGGAAATAATCGCACGAACAGTTTTTTAATATATGTAAATAAGCTGCTGGCCCAGCTATGTGGTTTTTACTGTCAGAACTTTGCTTTTCCACATAAAGCGAGCATTCTTTTTCCCCACTGTTTACCTATCTGCAGTGGTGACATTAAACGTCAGTCAGTTGGACCTCCTGTTTTCTGTTTTTACCCATTTTCTGTTTTATATTTTATACCTTTATATGTAAATAACTTAATTAAATTAACCTGTCCAAAAAATCATATTATAATGTCCAAATTTTAAATTTTCCCTTTTCCCTATACTTGGAACATGCCAGTTTATGGTAATTTGAATGGGGCCAAAATCAGTATGAAATTTTCGACATTCAAATTGCGGAGGGGATGGGGTACAGGTTTTATGCCAGTTGGTCCATTATGCTACAGGTCAAACTTCTTAATTCTATAATTTTCTGAACTCAGAACATAAACATTTATGGGAATTTGAAAGGTTTCAAAATTTTCGACATTCCAACATAATTTGGGGATGTGATGGGGTAGAGGTTTTATGCCAGTTGGTCCACCATGCTACAGGTCAAACCTATAAATTTTCCATTTTCCTAAACTTGAAACATAAATCTTTATGGGAATTAGAAAGGGGCCAACAATATTAATTTTTGACATACCAAAATGTAGTCGTGGGGGTGTGGTGGGTGTAATGTTATAAGATTTTTTGCGTGCAACCGCATTACTTCTATACCGACAGATTTTAAAATATTGTTTAATGTGGGCTAACTGATAATTGATCAGTTGAAATAGATTATATTGTTTCTTAATCAATTAATACTTATAGATACAGTTAATAAGTGTTTGCAAATAAAATATTTCACCATTCGTTGTTTTTACTGAATGTGTATTCATCCTAGAGAGGGAGTAGAGAGACGCTACTGCGCTAGCCTTGTACTTTTGCTATGAAACAAACGTTGAGTGCATTCAATTCGAAAAGCGAAATTTTTTAACTTAGGCCTAGACTTATCTGAAATTTCAGCTGCGACGAAGTTTTTGTTCAACCCGCCGAATTAGGCACATATTCCATATCGGTCCCACAGGTACTACAGACGTAGAATCCCCTCTGCCAATTTTGGAATGCATAGCCCAGGTTTTGTTGTAGGCCTATTGATGACCAATTACTCAGGCGCAATTTCAAAACTCTTACTGCTCCTAGGATTTTCTATACTTAAATTAAACCCATTGCATCCAAAATATTTAATTACCGAAACGCATTATCTGACATCAATGTAAAAGACATATAACCCTGTTCTAGCTCTACCTCGTCCTTCCTTAACCAACCTGCTGGACATGTGGTCACTGGCGATTTGAACATAGTCCAGAATTGTAAGTTACGTGAGATCCAAATTTCAAACTTATTATGGATGCAGTTGAGGACTACGCTAGATCACGGGCAAAGAGGGAAGATGCCATCTCTGATACTCTCTCGGATTGGACTAAGTCTATCAGTCGTTTACTAAAACGAAGAACTTACATGCAACGTTCGTGTGTTGACAATGGGCCTAAATCTATTTTCAATGATGTTAGCATTGTTGAAAATCTCAACGCCTTAATCTAGCTAGTTTGATACAATGGCATTAAAGATGTATTAAGTAAGATTTAGATAAAGAGCTGGTCATTCTTGCCATAATAGTTCAAAATAAGATAATGAAAAATGAATATATTATTGAAAATTTTATTCAAATTGCTTTTTACTGAGCGAAGTTATGACTGTTTGACTGTAGCGTTTATCATCATAGCAACAAACATTCAGTTTATCGTTAAATTTGTATTCATTTCTGGGTGCCAAAAAATAGGGATTTACACATTCCAAATATCATTTTAACACAGCGATTTTTGCTATAAGTTTGATCCTTATCTGGTTTGAACTAATTAACTATCTCGTTTGAACGAGTTAGTATCTCGTTTGAACGAGTTAGTATCTCGTTTGAACGAGTTAGTATCTCGTTTGAACGAGTTAGTATCTCGTTTGAACGAGTTAGTATCTCGTTTGAACGAGTTAGTATCTCGTTTGAACGAGTTAGTATCTCGTTTGAACGAATTAATTATTTCGTTTAAACGAGTTAATATACACTAATACTAATTCGTTCAAACGAGATAAATAATTCGTTCAAACCAGATACTAACTCGTACAAACGAGATAGTTAATTCGTTCAAACGATATACTAATCCATTCATGATACGAGATACTAATCAGTTCAACCGAGTACTAATCAGTTCAAACAAGATTATTAATTCGCTCAAACGAGATGCTAATCCGTTCAAGGGAGATATTAACTCGTTCAACAAACGACATAGTTAATCCGTTCAAACGAGATAATTGATCTATTTTGTAGTGCCAAACAACAAACAAATAAAATAAAAACTAATAATCTCGTTTGAGTTCATATTTCGTTTGAACGAGTTAGTATCTCGTTTGAACGGATTAGTATCTCGTTTGAACGAATTAATTCGAGATATTAATTCATATAAACGAGAAAATTAATTCATTCAAACAAGATACTAATTCGTTCAAACGGGATAATTAATTCGATCAAACGAGATAATCAATTCGTTCAAACGAGATACTAATCCATTCAAACGAGATACTAACCCATTCAAACGAGATACTAATCCGTTCAAACGAGATACTAATCCGTTCAAACGAAATTATTAATTCGCTCAAACGAGATTATTAATTCGCTCAAACGAGATGCTTATCCGTTTAAAGGAGATATTAACTCGTTCAAACGACATAGTTAATCCGTTCAAACGACATAATTCAAACGAGATGATTTATCCGTTCAAACGAGAAAATTAATTCGTTCAAACGAGATAATTAATTCGTTGAAACGAGATACTAATTCGTTGAAACGAGATAATTAATTCGATGAAACGAGATAATTAATTCGTTGAAAGGAGATAATTAATTCGTTGAAACGCGATAATTAATTCTTACACGAAATAATTAATTCGTTGAAACGAGATAATAACTCGTTCAAGCGAGATAATAACTCGTTCAAACGAGATAATAACTCGTTCAAACGAGATAATTAATTTGTTGAAACGAGATAATTAATTTGTTGAAACGAGATAATTAATTCTTTCAAACGTTTTGTTGCAATTTTTTAGTGGTAAAATCATAAATTGACGGGTCTAGTACCATCGTCACACATTTCGTGGACGTAGCCTACGCATCCGTCGCCTTCGATAGTGATCTATATCAATAGGGCCTACAAATTCACTCTTCTCCATAAACATGCGTACCTTCTCGCCCTGTACGACATTTTCTGAATCGGGACTGTACAGCGCAGTGGACGCTTACGGCTAGCCCCCGGATCCATTCACTTATTTTGAATTGTTTGTTTATTTGTGCTTTCTGAGTATGATGTCTTGTCCATGTATTTGTTTTTATGTAAATTATGTGTGGTGCAGTCCCCCTGCACTTACTATTAGTTACTTTGGTCTGGATGAAAGAGAGTAGCCAATGAATCAACGTATTTATCTCCCCTTGATTTTGAAGCAGACGATGGATAAATCCAGATGATAACGGATGACAGTCTATTGCCGCAGACGATTCTTTAGCTTGACCAACTCGAAAGAATGGCTTTAATGGAGAACATTTTGAATTCAACAGATGCCATGAACTTAGATAAACTGCTACAAAGTTTTGGTATGCTTATTTTTTTAAAGAGATGAAATTTGTGGACGTGAATAAATAGGAGGATTAGGCCTACCGCCAAGGGTCACGACTCATCGACCAAAGAAATGGCAGACGAAACAAGTGTCGACAACGTGAACGTCAATGAAACTGGCTTGACAACGTTAAACTCTAAGTAAAATAACAACTGAACAACCGAGTGATCTAAATTATCCCATCTTTATTAACCAAATCGGCGCATCTGGACCCAGTAAAGTAACATAACTACGTCTAGTCCTATAGTGGCTACAGTCATGACTTAATAGCCTAAATTAAGACACGCTCATGGTGACTGGTCAGCAGTGAATATTCGCTAGGTCACTGTAATCACTGAAAAGGGATGACATCGATGCTGGTTAATTAACTCGCAGTATTAACTTTTTAAAGTTTTCTCCTTCTGCGAATCTAGGTCATTTTTTGAAGTAAAACTAGGCCTATAGCCTAGTAATTAATATTAATATTAGAAATAGAAATAGTAATAATACGGGTAGGCGGGATAAGCCTAATATACTTAGTAATAGAAAAATAAACAAAGTAAAGGTTAAGGTATATAAAGTAGGCCTAGATCTATAATATCTGGTCAAATATTTCCCATTTTAGTGTAAATAAATGGTTACCGTATACAAAACGAGAAAAGTAAAAGCCACCGAGATAATGATTGGCGGCGCGTGATGATGTGATGTCACATGTTGTAGAAAGCATTTGAACTTATAAATTTCTTTTCATTTTTCTTATCACCAGAGCTAGGGTCGACTTGAAGTGGGTAATCTGTAATCTCGGACTCAGACTAGGCTAGGCCTAGGCTTAAGGAAGTAGGTCCAGGATATCATGTGTAGGCCTAGGCTTATACCTTATCTCTAAGCTTTCAGTAAGTGAATTCAGATTGCTCTTTGACTGATGTCTGTAAAGCTATCAAATGGCAGGTAGAGGTTACTTATTCGAATGATTTGACGCTGTGTGTTGACTCCATAATATTCATAGATAATAGCCCATCGAGTCCATGGAGGCTTGTTTACCCTCATGAAATATGTCATATAATGTTTTGACTGGTTCGTGAACCAAACTAGACAATTTTACACTTACCCAAATATTTATTGTTTAAATCAATTTTACACATATACATATTCATTTCAGAATTTGAAAACAAGCAGTATGTAAAATTGATTGAAAAAGAAAATCAACAGATTGAAGGTACAATACCGGTATTAAAAATAAAATGATTCAACAATTTATTCAGCGACCCCATTCTCAAGAGCACTAACCTTCAAACATATTGCCCAGTAAGAAACTTCAGTGCTGGCACAATAACCAGAAGGAAGGCAAGAACCCTTGAAAAGTTCAACTATCTCTTACTTGTAAAACCAAATTTTGTAAACATTTCTTTATTATGCGGAACAGTTATTTCTTTGGACCACTGCAATTTTATAACCTATCAGATATGTTCTTTGTTTCGTGTCACAAAGGCTATATTAATTTTTTAAATGTCATAATCAAGAGAGGAAATAAACACCTTGCGCTGTTAATGATATCAGTCCACAATATTAATAAAACTATGATGAATTGAAAATTCATCACCATTCGGCATCCACTGCGGACGATAAGCTTTTAGGATATGACCTTGAAATATGACCCTCTTTTTAAACTGATTATTAACATGTTTTGTCTGTTTCAGCTTATTCTAAAAGAACTGAAGAAAGAAAGACTTCCATAACTCACACACAGAGTGCTATTAATCAGCTAGATGATGATACAAAACGTGCACACAAACAATTTACCCAAAATAGAGATAACTGTGAGAGGTAAGTAAGACGAAAACATGTTGACATAAAGAAAAGCAAAAAAAAAATTGGTTATGTTTTCTATTGAAGAAGTTCTCTGGCAAACTACATTTTACTTTATGATATTGATTCGTCGCCTTGAAATGGCCCTGGTGATACTATCTTACAGTTTTCAAGGCGACTTAATGCTTGTGAGTTTAAACATTAAATAGTTAAGATTTAATTAATAAATACATTTTATAATCCATTATAATTTTGTTATTTTAGTTTAAGGAAAACAACCGTTGTGCTTATGGAACACGAAGTAGCTTTGAACAAGAAGTTGAACTCTGTTTTAATTACTACTGAAAATGATAGGTGTGTATGTCGGCCCATCTGTTCAGGGATTTGAGATTTTTTTGAAACTGGGATTGCTTACTTTTCAAGAGGAAGAGCCCTATCGATATACGGAAACAAGCATTGTTTTGCGCTATCTTATTGTCATTGTCAACAAAACTTTGCACACGCTGTACATTAAAGATACATTATGGGAGATTCGGTAACGAGTTGGCAGTTCTCACTATAATAGTTAAAAACTAGATAATGTAAAGGCAATTTGGTGAAAATTTCATTCAAATTGATCCACGATGAACTGAGAACTAAGCGACTGAAATTCCCATAAGCCTCGGTCATCATTACTAAAGTCAGTACGATAAACAGCATAGTCTCGATTATCCGTTTAATCGAGAAGGAAAGTTATGCAGTAAATCGGCTTTCAATCCACTAAAATCACAGGCTAGGGCTGCCATCTAGAGTTGATTATGTCCTGGATAGGTTAATTAATGTCTAATTAATAATTTAGATAACATTTCAGGCCTAAAGAAAGACCTGCAATAGACAGATTTAGCTCTTGCATAATGTATGTTTAAGTCAGAGTTTTTGATCATGTGTTTACGCCTGCATCTCTGTGAGAGTATTTTTTCATATCTGTCTGTTAACAATTGATGTAAACGTTCTTCTGGTTTATGCCCCTTGTCTTCGAAACCTTTTTTGAGATGAGTTCCTTGAATTATCAACTTCATAAGCACCACCCCTCAATGTGTTCTTAATATAGGTATTTGTAAACATTAAACATACATTATGCAAGAGCTAAATCTGTCTATTGCAGGTCTTTCTTTAGGTCTGAAATGTTATCTAAATTATTAATTAGACATTAATTAACCTTTCCAGACCATAATCAACTCTAGATGGCATCGCTAGCCTGCGATCTTTAGTGGATTATGAGCCGATTTACTGCATAACTTTCCTTCACGATTAAATGGATAATCGAGACTATGCCGATTATCGTACTGACTTTAGTAATGATGATTGAGGCTAGTTCGAAAAGTCAAACGATAAAATCTCGGTTCAGAGTGGATCAATTTGAATGAAATTTTCAGCAAATTGCCTTACATTATCTATTTTTAACTATTAGAGTAAAAACTGCCAACTCGTTATCGAATCTCCCATAATGTATCTTTAAACAATGTGTATTTCAAATTTATATTCATATCCTTGTAACGCTTGTATCCCAGAATAAAATTATTCTTTTGGACATTAGGAGGAAATCTTCAGATCAATATGATGAATACGTATGTTTTCGGGTTATCACGGTTGGGGTTCAAACTCATGAACTCGTGATAACCAAAAATATTACAGAGTTCAAGGCGGAATTTTATAAGACTTGAAGGTACCATATTACTACAACTACAATGTTCAGGGTTTTAAAACTAGGGTGTAGACTTTGCAGACTAACTATTCAAGTAAATACTATCTCGTTAATCCTAGGACTAGGGGCTTTTTTCATATTTAAAAGAAAGGACAAGGGGGGAATTTGCCAGACCCAGACATCATTTGAACATGAAGCAGGTTGGTCGGAGTTCTTGAGTGTCTCAGACTAAGTTTAAAGTATATCAAGACATCATACAGTATGTAGTTTTGTCGTTTTCGAAAATGAAGTTAGAGATGTGTTCCCCTTAATTTATCACTCTACAACTATATTCTTGTTCGATTTTCAACTAATATTCGGGAGTAGTTAATAAATTGTGCTACAGTGATTCCATTCTATGTTGAGTGTGTTCAGAAAAGTATCTTCAGAGTTTTACCACTTAAGTTCGTTAAAAAATAAAAGTTGAAAAAATCATTTCAACATGACAGAGTCCTATCGCAGTGTAGACAATAATTTTGCTGGTGGGTGTACGTTACCTTGTCAGACAAGCTCTGTTTTAATACATGGATAGATTTTATAAAAGCTTTCTATTTTTATTAAATCTACCCCTTATATGATTGACTGTCAAATAATGACAATCAAACTCTTTGATATACCGTTATGCAAATTGGTCTCTACTACTTCCTTATTTGTATATAATCTGTCGATTCTTTTTTTATACATCTATATAGGGCCGAACGAAATGGTGTTCTTCAACACTATCAAAATATCTGGGAAGATTATAAGGCTACTTATGAAACTTTCCCTTTGGCAATCAAATTATATAAGGAAAAAGAGGAATTCTCCCAATTAAATATGCAAGTGGAAGAAGCCAGAAAGCAAGCAGATAGGCTGAATAAACAGATTAAGATGGCACAAGGCTTGTATAAACATAGCTATAATAGATCTGGGCCCTGTTTCTCGAAATCTTAACTAAAGATAAAATCCAAATTTTAGTAGATACTTCAAGTTTGATTGCCTAAGCAATAAAATCAATCTAATATTATCCAATCAAATTACTAAAATTTGGATTTTTATCTTAGTTAAAATTTTGTGAAACAGGGGCCTTATTCACGAAATTTTAACTAAGATAAAATCAAAATTTTAGTTATTTGATTGGATAATATTAGATTGATTTTAGTGCTTAGCCAATCAAAACTGAAGTACTAAAATTTGGATTTTATCTTTAGTTAAGATTTCGTGAATCAGGGCCCAGGCCCCAGGATTTAATATCTTTAGTATAGATGAATCATTTTAATTTTAAGATAATGCAAATAAATTCATTAAACTTTACAAAAAAGGATACTGATAATAATGGTGATGAAGCCGATAGTTTAGTGAATTCTGCACATGAACGATTAATGGTCTTTTGTGCAGACAAATAACAGCTTGTATGCGTTGCATATTAATTAAATAAAAGTATGTCTAAATAGAAAAGAAAAACAACATTTACTATGTATATGTTTCTTTTTATCCTTCAGGAAATGACGGAGTGAATTTTAAAAATCTCAACAGTTTTATAACTAAACTGTATCCTTTCAGTTTGTCCGAATGAACTGGTCTAACGATGTTTATGACCTTTTGAGTAATATTATACATAACCTTTTTCTCTGGATAACTAGGAAAATGTCAACTTTAAAACTGGCTGTTTATCTTAGAAAAGCATGATTGTTGAGTATCAATTTGTACGAGATACAGCAGTCCAAGCATTTTGGGGTCCGATGTAATCCAAACTTAACGGCCTATTAAATAAGAAATATTTTCCTCATTGGCTGATTGCTTGTACCCATTTTTGGGCCCAGGATTAGTTTGTTTAATACCGTTTTATATATAGAACATATTCAGATTTTATAATTATTTTATAGTCCTTTTAATATACTGTCAGTGCGGGAATGAAGCTAGAAACTACCAAACTAACCACGCAAATAGAAAATAAGATCAAAGAGAAGGCAAGTCTGGAGAAAAAGCTGGAAGAAATGAAAGCAAAGAAACATCCGGTAATAATTGTTGAATTTTACTTACAAGGTTTTAATCATTTAATGGTGTCAAGAAAATATTTATGTGTGTGTATTTATTAATTAGTGTGTCGGCTTTTAGTTATATTTTATCATTTATTCTTAACTTAATATCAAGTATCACTCCAATGACGATCCATGGACATCGATAGCCACTGGAGTAATTTCACTGACCACAGACAAAATAGGGCAAAATATCACCATCCTTTACCGCATAAGCTTATATTTTTAATTTTGATGGAATGTTTAAATATGTATGTAAACGTTAAAGATACATTATGCAAGAGCTAAATCTGCCTACTGCAAGTCTTTATTTAGGCTTCAGTATAGAAATTATTAATTAGACCTTTATTTATTTACACGACAAGCTCAAAATCAACTATGTAGACCCACGGATGGCTTGGATACAGTCGTCCATTTAAAATTAAATCAATAAATGGGACCAAGCTAACGTTTACCGTTAGTCGCTGATATCACTACCGGAAACTGTTGATGAAAGGCCTGCCAAGCGAGGCTACCAACAGTGACAATTCCGTTCAGAACAAAGTAATTTGACTGAAATTTTCAGCATTTCTTTTTTTATCATTTATTTTTGAATTATTATAGCAAGAATGGACAACTCTTTATAAAACTCTAAACGAATGTATCTTTAATACCTTCTGTTATATTTTTCATTTATATCATATGCTTGATTATGTATTTACCAATGTAAGGTCAATAGTGAGCAAACATTTCCAGTTGATACACAAGGACTTGTTTTGCAATTTTTATGATGAAAGGCCTGCCAAGCGAGGCTACCATAGCCATTGAGCACGTACTTGATAATCGAGAATATGTGCATGGGTGGAGTTATCGTCTGTCAATCAAACGATCGCCAATACTCATAGACGGTGCAGACACAATTGATGCCTATTTCTAGTCCAAACTTCCAACAGTGACAATTCTGTTCAGAACAAAACAATTTGACTGAAATTTTCAACATTTTCTTTTTTTATCATCTATTTTTGAATTATTATAGCAAGAATGGCCAACTCTTTATAAAACTCTTAACTAATGTATCTTTAAGTGATGGGCTTAATGATACAGTTTGGATAAACCTTAAAGTGTTTTCTATTTCTTTATTTTTTAAAATGAGAAGAGCGGTGTTGAATCGATGGAAACGGATGGAGATAAACCAGTAGAAACATCAGGAAGTAGTTCCACAATGATAGGGTTTGGATAATTTCACCGTATTCAAAAAAACATTACAGTAAATTTAGATTAAAAGATAATGCTGTTATGAACTTAGAATCGACAATTTGTAAAGATAACAATATTGTTTCAGCCATCATATTTCTCCATTCCTTGTCTTAAGACGTTATTGTCATAATATTTCATAAACAATTTGATTTGCGTTTCAAAATAAACCCATACCATAACTAATATACTGACAATGGAAAATACAAATAAAACAGTGTTGCAACGACAATATTGTTACACTGCATGAACAGTTTATGTCCAGTTTCATAGCAAAGCTTAATGGCAAGGGAAAATGAATACTAATCTTATTTCTCAATAACTATAGGTCCAACAATTCTTAACATATTTTCATATATTTTTGTTGTTGACAATGACATCTCCATTCTACTCAGTATTAATAGGCTATGATCTCTGTCACATTCTGTTCATATTAATTATACCAATCACTTTCATTATTTGTGATATTTTACAGTAAATGTAACATAAAACCTAATCTTATATCTTCAGAATGTATGATAACGAGGAAGAAGATATCGCAGAACTCAATACCAATAACAACACAGACACAGTTTCAACACAAAATAACGGTATAATTTAAATCTAATCAGAAGCTTTCATTGTTTTAACAGCATCAACAATATTCCCCGGAGCAAAGATTCATGGCGGTATATTCGATTCAAAATTCTAGCATGCTATCGTCTGATTTCTAACTCCTTTCATGTAATTTCTAAATTGTATAATCCAATTTCTTTATTTGTTCAGTGTCAATTTTAAATCTATTTCATCTTATTTCTATTATTAAGGATCACATCCTAAAAACGCGACTTTTCGTACAATCAAGGGTCATAATTCAGGAAGTTACGATCCAATATGCGCGATTATCAAAAGGAACCAAAATCCTTGGGTTATCAATATGTATTTCAAGTTTCATCAAATTCCGATCAAAATTGTGGGCTCTAGAGGATCCACAACCTTGATATACCATATATTTACACTTTGCGTGCAAGAGGCGGCCATTTTGTCTGGCAGTTTTGGTCTGATTTTCACGAAATTCGAACTCAGCCACCATAATGGTGTAACGGTGATATATTCGAACGACTTTTTAAATCGGTTAATAATTGTGACCTCTAGAGGGACCACAAGCTAAAAACACGATTTTTCGTACAATAAGGGGCCATAATTCAGGAAGTTACGATCCCATATGCGCGAATATCGAAAGCAACCAAGATCTTTGGGTTATAAACATGCATTTCAAGTTTCATCAAAATCGGCACAAAATTGTGACCTCCAGAGGGTCCACAACCTTAATATACCAGATGTTTACACTATTTGGGTACAAGGGGCGGCCATTTTGTTTGGCAGTTTTGGTCCGATTTTCACGAAATTCGAACCCAACCTTCATTTCGGTGTAACGGTGATATATTCAAACGGTGTTTTAAATTGGTTAATAATTGTGATCTCTAGAGCGACCCCAAGCAAAAACGCCATTTTTCGTACAATCAGGGGCCATAATTCAGGAAGTTACGATCCGATATGCACGAATATCGAAAGCAACCAAGATCTTTGGGTTATAAACATGCATTTCAAGTTTCATCAAAATCAGATTAAAATTGTGACCTCTACAGGGTCCACAACATTGATATACCATATTTTTACGCTATTTGACTACGAGGCGTGGCCATTTTGTCTGTCGGTTTTGGTTCGATTTTTACGAAATTCGAACTCAACCATCAAAATATTGCGTATCAGGGTTGTGGATCCTCTGGAGGTCAAAAATTATCATCTGATTTTGATGAAACTTGAAATGCATGTTTATAACCCACAGATCTTTGATATTCGCGCATATCGGACCATAACTTCCTGAATTATGGCCCCTGATTGTACGAAAAATCACGTTTTTAGCTTGTGGACCCTTTACAGGTCACAATTATTATCCGATTTAAAAAAAACCGTTCGAATATATCACCGTTACACCGTAATCTTGTTGGAGGTTGAGTTTCATGAAAATCGGACCAAAATTGACAGACAAAATGGCCGCCCCATATACGCAAATAGTGTAAACATCTGGTATATCAAAGTTGTGGACCCGCTAGAGGCCAAAATTTTGATCCGATTTTGATGAAACTTGAAATGCAAGTTTATAACCCAAAGATCTCGGTTCATTTCAATCTTCGCGCATATCAGATCGTAACTTCCTGAATAATGGCCTCTGGTTGTACGAAAAATCGCGTTTTTAGCTTGTGGTCCCTCTAGAGGTCACAATTAATTATTCGATTTAAAAAAAACGTTCGAATATATCACCGTTACACCGTAATGTTGGTTGACTTCGAATTTCATGAAAATCGGGCCAAAACTGCGGGACAAAATGGCCTCCCCTCGTACGCAAATAGTGTAAACATCTAGTAAATCAAGCACTCGGCAAACCTCAACAGATTCCAGTACCCTACATCTAATCTCGGCTGTATGACCAAGTCCGCAATTAGAACTACTTTCAAGTTCCCGGATTACAATGGCGTTGTCCATGACGACTAATGACGTCATTGATGACGACGTATTTGAAGAATGTTTTATCATACAAAATTTTCAAAGTTTGAAGCTGTTTTTCTTTCAAGTTTTTCCGATTTCCTTTAGACAAGGACAAATTTGCACTGAAAATTCTACACACTCTTCGAACGACGCAATTTTGAGAACTTCTTTCTAAACGCGGGCAAGTTTCCCTTATAAGTAAACCGATGCCGCATCGCAAATGTATAGGCGTAGGTGCATATCACTTACTGTCATACAGCCGAGGCTAGATGTAGGGTTCCGGAATCTGCTGAGGTTTGCCGAGTGGTAAATCAAGGTCACAATTTTGATCCGATTTCGATGAAACTTGAAATATATATTTATAACCCAAAGATATTGGTTCCTATCGATATTCGCGCATATCGGATCGCAACTTCCTGAATTATGGCCCTTGCTTTTTTTACCGTGTGGTCCCTGTAGAGGTCACAATTTTTATCCGATTTAAAAAAAAGTGTGAATATATCACCATTACACTAAGATCTTGGTTCCTTTTGATAATCGCGGATACCCAAACTTAACTTCCTAGATTATGGTCCCTTATTGTTGGAAAAATCGCATTTTTAGCTTGCGGATTCTCTAGAGGTTACAATTTTTTTCCGATTTTATAAATCCGTTTAAATACATCACCATTCCACCATAATGAAGATTTAGTCGTATTTTGGGAAAATCAAAATGGCCGCTCTTTGTATGCAAATTGTGTAAAACTATGCAATGCGAAGGTTGTCGATCCTCTAGAGGTCACAATTTTTATCCGATTTTGATGAAACTTAAAACATATCTTTATATCCCAAAGATCTTAGTCCCTTTTGATATTTGCACATTTCAGGCCATAACTTTCTGGATTTTTGCCCCTGATTGTACAAAAAATCGCGTTTGTTTTTAGCTTGTTCTCTATCCATCTGTTGCAAAATGTGGGCGTATCCTGCCTGGCAGCCACTGGTTCGTACATCAGGGGCCATAATTCAAGAAGTTATGGTCCGATATGCGCGAATATCGAAAGGAACTGAGATCTTTGAGTTATAAACATCTATTTCAAGTTTAAACCAAATTATCAAATTGGATAAAAATTGTGAGCTCTACAGTGTTCACAAGCTGAAAACTTGATTTTTCGTACAATCAAGGGCCATCATCCATGAAGTTACAGTCCGATACATGCCAATATCGAAATGAAATGAAATGAAATGGGGTTTAACGTCCTACTGTTCTGATCCTAACCTGGGCTAATGAAGACGGGCATACGCCATACAGTGTGCTATGAGGTCTAATATACCACCATAAAGATTACGGGTAGTATTCAATCATTAAGTATTATTAATTATAACATGATAAAGTGGTGTTTCTGATTAGCTTCCTTTACTACTTCGGCGTAGAAGTAGTTGTAACACGGATCGGAAGCATACTTGATACATTCGCCTCAACCCAAAGATAAATGTGAGAAATATGCCATGGATAAATATATATATATCTTCATTTCAAAGCTATTGTATATTTCAATTCAAAATTGTCAAGGTCAGCGTGGTTTTTATAGAGCATGTGGTAATATGTGTGAGCTACTGAAATGACTTTTCTACAGGCAATGCAACTCTATTTGTCTTTGACTAAGAAAGAAATTTCATTAATAAATAAATCAAAGCCCTACTAATATTATTTTTCTTAGTCCAATATATAATATTTTGCGTAAATCATGCCGACAAAGTGATATAAAAATGTGAATTCCAGATACCCTACCATAAATAAAAAAAAGCATTTAAAGATACATTATGGGAGATTAGATAAAGAGCTGGCAGTTCTGAGTATAATAGATAAAAACTAAATAATGTAAAGGGAATTTGCTGAAAATTTCAGTCAAATTGATCCACTCTGAACCGAGAATTTAGCGATTGATTTTTCGGCCTAGCCTCGATCATCATTACTAAAGTCGGTACGATAAAAATATAGTCTTGATTATCCATTTAATGATTAAATCATGAATGAAAGTTGAGCAGCAGTTCGGATCCTAATCCAGTAAATATTGCAGGCTAGCGATGGCATCGAGAGTTGATTATGGTCTGGATAAGTTGATTAATGTCTAATTAATACTTTAGATAACATTTCAGGCCTAAAGAAAGACTTGAAATGGGCAGATTTAGCTCTTGCATAATGTTTGTTTAATTTGTAAAGTTTTCGTGCGTTATAAAAATGACTTGACAGTGAAAATTTTGAAGTGGAAGCCCGCTCGTAGTGCCTGGTAACCTTGCTTCTGCAATATGTCTTACGAATAAATGTTGTTATTTGGTTTTCTGTTCAACTTGAAGTGTGTTTATTTTCATTTTCAGTTGTTCTGAGCATTGCTCTGTGTGACCCCATGCATCTTGAAAGGCAAGCAGAGCTAATACCCCGAAGGGTAAGGTTATCTATATTTATACCCAGACAATGTCCGTAGACTTTCAGCATGCCAATTACTTATATTTTCTTTCGATTTGAAAGTGATTGCTTGTCACCAATAGGAGTTAAACCTAAAATGTCTGTCTCGTGGGCGAGTAATGGCCTTGTTGAAACATTGTTTAATTTTAAAGCTACCAAGACAGCAAAGTGTACATGTATGTAGAGTAGACTGTAAAACTACTCCCAAGATTTATAGATGTGTGCTTCTATAATGTTCTTTCAGATACAACAGGTTAAGCCTACAAGCACAGTGTATACTACAGGTGAAGATGCGGTGATGTTTACGACACAGGCTCAACCACCAGCACAAGTCCAAGCACCTAAGCTATTTTCTGTTCCGCCATCTATTCAAATAAATCCGCTACCAGTATTTCACCAAAGAATGCCAACTAACCTATCATCCAATGACAAGAATGCGACTCTGCCAAAAACATCCACAACTCAACTAAGAATCAATAACAAACTTAGACTTCCTACCCCACAAGTCACGACACCTTCAACAAAACTAGCACCAAAATTGATATCCTGTCCACCTTCTTTGGTAATGCCGTTAAAATCAACCGGTCCATCTGTAGCCACCAAACCTCAGCCGTCACCAAATACTCCGCGTTTGTTTCAACCATTGACAATGGCAAGGTCGCCAATCACACCAAGTCCAAACATATCTCAACAACAACAGCAGATCTGCAGACCTTGCAATATACCGCCACAATCACCGATCAGCATGCCGAAAACAACACCAGGGACCCCAACTGCACCACATATATCATCCGTTCAAAATGACAGCTCACTTTGTTTTAGTAAAAACATGTCACCTCCATCTCAAATACCTAAACAAACCTCACATACATTAGATGTTACTAAATCACCATTAGTCACAAGTCAAACTGCAAAATGTGAGTCCTCATTCTAGAACTTAATTTCTATGCTGTCAGTTACTAGGTTTTTACTGTTGACACATAATGTATAATTCGTGTGACCTATGAGAAGAGACAATATGGTAGTAAAAGTTTACATTATCGAAGAGACGACGCTACACAAAATTAATTACACAAATGTCTTTACCTTTTTAGACCTAGCATACTTTCTTAATGGCTGGGGAGAATTTCTTTTTCTAAAAAAAAACAAAACAAACATTGTATCATACTGGGCATGGAATTAAACTCGTGAATTTTGGCTTCCTGAAAAAACCGATATACGTCTAGCCAGATATTTTATACCGTGAGAGTCCAATGAAAAGGGATTTATCAAGAAATTATATAATATAACTTTTAACAAAATTTGAATAATAATTAAAATGTCTACAAAGATACGCTGCTATAGCAATGCGGTACACTAGACAAAATTCCAAACTGTTCCGATAGATATGGCTATCGGTACAACAAAAACTAAAATGCCGGGCACTTTGTTTCTGGAGACTGGGGCCATGGTGGCTCAGTGGGTAGGTGTTGCTTACTAACCACTGGGTTTTGATCCATGTCATATTCCTGAAGCAATGGCCCGAGAAATTGCCCTCTCTGGCCTTTGCTGGATTAAATTCTTATACTTGAGCTTTTGAGGGATTGTGTCTGTTCTTCCCGTTCAATCAAATCTCTCTTAAGTACAGCAACATGACAGCTGGGGTCTTCCCTAAAACTTTGGACAGTAATTTAAATATACTTTATGTAAGATTTAGATAAAGAACTAGCCATTCGTGCTAAAATAGTTCGAAAATAGATAATGTAAAATGAATAATTTGAAAATTCCATTTGAATTACTCTATTGTTAGCCTTTGAAGGTTTGTTAAGATGTGTGCAATAATTTCAACCACCGCACTGGTTGTTCGAAGCTAAGTCTCGCTCCTCCATTTTAGCTTAATTCAAAATATGGCTGAACTGTTTGAATCTATTAAATATCGGAGAAATCCGATGCCATCGAGAGTTGATTATGGCATGGATAAGTTAATTAATATCTAATTAATAACTTAACGAACATTTCAGGCCTAAAGAAAGACCTGCAATAGGCAGATTTAGCTCTTGCATAATGTATGTTTAAGGTATTAAAAACGGTGAAAGTATTGTTCGTCTCCAAACATAGTCTCGATTGTCACGCAATTAGTTTTCCTGCAATATTCTGCTATGCACTGGTTAATTGGTCGTAATAAATTTCGTGGGTCATGACGTAACGTTATGTAAACAAATTTGGAGCTTGGTTTAAACTCGAATGATATTGTTAGATATTGATTGTTAATCGGACTATTGACCAGTCATAATTTGGAACAGAAATTTGTTTTTATTACGGCAGTGTTGAGTGAGATTAGGTCTAATCAAACGAAACACTGCGAGAAGTATAGGTCCATGTTGTCCAAGAAAGTTCCAACATGGTTTCCAGTTGTCAGTGGCGAAAAACATAGGTTACATGTGTACGTAAAATAATCCTGGAAAATTGGATTCAAAATAAAAAGCACACCGTGGCACCCTGGTCCAGGCATAGCGTATGCCCATCTTCATTAGCCCAGTTGGTGCAGAAAAGTTAATCCATGTTCCATTTCATTTCTGTTGACTATTGATTCATTAGTTAGATGGTAAGACAGCAGAATTTAAAATCATAATTAACCTTCATGTGTTTCTGGTGGTTTAGCTGTTTCATACAGACATGTTTATTTGTTGAAATCGTATGGGATTATTAAATACTTTTTACTACGCTTAATTTCGTGTTTTTCTCAGTTATTTCATCAGTATAATATTTTATTCATCACAGCCCCGCTAAAAGCCCCGGAAACACCCAAATCATCATCAACAAATTACAATGAGGGCTCAACATCTACTAGCCCTTTTGATCTAAACAAGCATTTGGAAAAAATGAAGCAGATGAGAAAATCGCCTAATGCAATGCCCTTAAAAGGAAGGGCAATGTTTGCTGAATCCGTGAGTTAAATTTAATCGCTGTAAACATTTATAAATTGTCTAACATGAAGTTAATATTATGCAACAAAAGAAGTGTATTTGAGCAAGCAACAAATATTTACAATTCCTAATCGTCAGTCATAATTGAGAAACAAAATATTTCTTTATATACTTTATTTACAGCCCTTGGAAGAATCAAGAGCTTCTAGTCAATTCATACAACCATTTTACCAAGGAAAGGTGGGTATTAATTATTCTGTATACACTTTAACATATCATATGCAATTTATTTGTGGTTGAAATTGATTTGATAAACAAACACGTAGCTTATATTGCTGTATATTTATTTGTGCTAGTCCCACAATTTATGACAATCCAGAGTAATTGTACTTGTTGTAAAAAGATTGTGAAATGATATACTATAGTCCACAATATTCGTCTGCTTTTGATGAAACGACTTTGTCGAGAGAGCTTTATAACAGCACAACATATCATTTCGATTTAATAATTTTAGGCCCAATCTACCGAATCATCAGCTTACAGGTTCTCTTGTTTTGACAATATATCTTCACCGGGTGAGTTATCTATATATCTGTATATCATGAATGACATTGGATCGTTTGCCTCATGCCAACAGTCAGGCACTTATTACATGTAGATAGAAAGTATGATCAATTATGTGGTATAATTCTGAATGCATGCGTTGCTCATGTCAACTCAATGCTCCTGATTTGGCCCACACCCACATGTAGTTGGGATACCAAACTCTGTCATAATGATATAGAATATGTCAACATTCTAAATTTGTCCAATGTTCATTATAAACTTGCAAAGCATTATTGAAATGAAATGAAATTACAAGATTTACAAGAAGCTCCGTTTACTGAGTACAAATAAACCTAAAGAGATTAGACATCATCTTCATTTAGAATTTACATGAATATAATTTATAACGGTACTAACAAAAAAAAAAGAAATTTTTAATTCAATATGCCACCATAGGAAAACTGCCAAATTCATTCGGCTTTTGAAAAAAGGTTAATTGTTGAATTAACTTTCCAATAATCTAAGGTACTTTAAGGGCACACTGAATTTGCAACCGAAGAAAAAGTAATGTCAGACAAAACTATCATAGCTAGCATACGCTTACTTTAATTGTTTCCGGTTTATTTTGTTGTAGAAACATCAAGTGGGGCTTCATTCAGTTTTGGACCTGGAGCCAAGTCACCAACCAGTGAAACATGCTTTAATATCAGATCTGATGTCAAATCACCAACCAGTGAAGCTCCCTTTAATTTGGCCTTTGATTTTGGATCAGGTGTCAAATCACCTACGGGTGATAATAGTTTTATGTCACTGTTTAATGACAATTCAAAAGTTGGGGGAACTGCAGCGGACAATTCCAGTTTTTCCTTCAGTTTTGCTGGAGGTGACAGAGGTGGTGCCAAATCTCCTGAACAATCTGATTTCACTTTTAACTTTGGTGCTTCAGATCCCCAAAGCAAGGGCACTTTTAGTTTCTTCTAAACATCAAGATCTTTTTCAAGTTAGATAATAAACTAATCTGTACATAAAAACAACCAAAACTGGTTTTGTTAGAAACCAGCTAAATGAAGGGGTCTCGATGCTGTATTTAAGAATCTTGTATATCAGTTTCATTCATATGACAATTAACTACTATTAACTTTAATTGCACAGTGCATTAAATTATTAATTTAATCACATCGTATTTCTTATAAATCTTTAATATGATCCATTTCTAATGTGACTGAACATATGGCCTTATAAGAGCCCAACAGAATCTTGCAAAATTTCACAACAATAACAAATGGTGTATTTTGTGGTAAACATATCAGTTCAGGGGCCTGTTTCGCGAAATTTTAACTGTGATAAAATCCAAATTTTAGTAATTTGAATGGATAATATTAGGTTGATTTTAGTGCTTAGCCAGTCAAAATTGAAGTATCTACTAAAATTTGGATTTTATCTTTAGTTAAGATTTCGAGAAACAGGGCCAAGTTTTTGAGAGTACTGGGATTATTTGACAAATCACATCAAAATAAAAGGCATGCTGCACAAAGTTGCAGGTGGGCGTATCGCCTTTGTCTAAGAAAGTTGTGTTCATTACAATTACTGTACAACAATAGCTAATTTAATTTATTTAAAGTGTGTTGATCAAATCAGTCGGTATTGATTCTCCTTTTTGCCTCGGATTCAACCACCACTTGGGCAGAAGTTATTCTCTCGGCTAAAAAATCTTTATTCTCTCAGCTACGAGAGATACCGTAGAGTCTGATTGAAAAGAAACCACTCATTCAACAAATACACATAACAGATGGATGACAGACCTACCCGTCCAGTTAATAGAACGGACAATATCACCTCTGTCCACAAAAGAGAGACACGTACTAGTTGCCGGCCACTTCGGATTTCCTTGACATTTTAGTTCAAACCTTAACTCTCATATAAATAAACTATTTGGTACTAATTCGTACCTAAATATATTAAATTGATGACCTTACTACTTTCTGGACAATTCTAACCGGTTTTATACGCCCACATTTTCATGTGGACGTACATTTTCGTCGCCCCTGTCCGGACGTCCGTCCGTCCACAATTGTTTGTGAACACTCTCAGTCACAATTTTATCCGATTTCAATGAAACTTGAAATATAGGTTTATCACCCTAAGATATCACTTCCTTTCGATACTGGCATGTATCGGACTGTAACTTCATGGATTATGACCCCTGATTGTCCGAAAAATCACGTTTTTAGCGTGTGAACACTGTAGAAGTCACAAGGTTTATCCGATTTGGTTTAAACTTGAAATGTATGTTGATAACCCAGAGATCTCGGTTCCTTTCGATATTCGCGCATATCAGACCATGGCTTCCTGAATTATGGCCCCTGATTGTACGAAAAATCGCGTTTTTAGCTTGTGAACCCTATAGAGGTCATATTTTTTATCCGATTTAAAAAAACGTTTTAATATATCACCGTTACACACTAAGGATGGCTGGGTTCGAATTTCATGAAAATCGGACCAAAACTGACTGACAAAATTGCCGCCCATCGTTCTCAAATAGCGTAAAAATATGGTATATCAAGGTTGTGGACCCTATAGAGGTCCAAATTTTTATCTGATTTTGTTGAAACTTGAAATGTAAGTTTATAACCCAAAGATCTCAGTTCCTTTCGATATTCGCTAATAGCGGACCATTACTTACTGAATTATGGCCCCTAATTGTACGAAAAATCGTGTTTTTAGCTTGTGGACACCGTAGAGGTCACAATTTCGGAAAAATCGAAATGAAACTGTCCAACAAAATGGCCGCTCTTTGTACACAAATTGTGTAAAACTATGCAATACGAAGGTTGTCGATCCTCTAGAGGTCACAATTTTTATTCGATTCTGATGAAACTTAAAACATATCTTTATATCCCAAAGATCTCATTCCCTTTTGATATTTGCGCATTTTAGACCATAACTTTCTGGATTATTGCCCCTGATTGTACAAAAAATCCCGTTTGTTTTTAGTTTGTTCTCTATCCATCTCTTGCAAAAATGTGGGCTTATCCTGCCTGGCAGCCGCTGGTTATCCGATTTTGATGATATTTAAAACATATCTTTATATCCCAAAGATCTCAGTCCCTGTTGATATTTGCACATTTTAGGCCATAACTTTCTGGATTATTGCCCCTGATTGTACAAAAAATCGCGTTTGTTTTTAGCTTGTTCTCTATCCATCTCTTGTAAAAAATGTGGGCGTATCCTGCCTGGCAGCTGCTGGTTATTTAAATGTGCCTATTTAAAGGATACATCTATTGGGTTGAAACAAACTTTTGCCACCAACAAGTACGATCATTGAATGAATCATAGACATAAGAACTGCAACTGTAGTGTTATTATTTTGTCTTCGTACCAGATCATCTTGTGAAGCTACCCATGGAAATTACCAGAAATGGATAAAACTGGCTATAGGGCAGTCATCAAATACCTGCAACTGAAAGGACTAACCCCAACACAAATACATGTCAACATGGACTCCACTTTAGGGGATGATGCCTCTTGCTGTTCCACAGTAAAGAAGTGGGCTGTGGAATTTAAGTATGTGGTAGAGAGGGAGCCTTAACGATGACCCGCGTCCTGGAAGTCCATCGACATTACCCGGGTGCTCAACATATTGCCGGTGTTGTGAGCATCTCTCATGAGAGGGTTGAGCACATTATAGCCTACGAGTTAGGAATGACAAAGGTGTCTCCAAGATAGGTGACAAAGCTCTTGACTAACGATGAGCAAGATGTCAGATTCCTGATGTCCCGTGACAATCTTCGCCTGTTTAAAGTAGATCCTGATAATTTTTTGGCCAGGTTTGTAACCATGGATGAGACCTGTTTGACCCGTTTCCAAAAATGAAAAAGGAACTAGTCGGGGGTCAGTTTTCTAGTAATGATTACGTCATGTCTTTTTAAGGGTGGCTGAAGAAAATTTCTTCCTGACCAGCATCTGGAAGGGGACTATGTAGAAAAATAAATGGAAACCATCAATATTGTATGTTTTCACAGACAGGCTTAGAACTTTTCAGCCAGCCCCTGTATTTAATATGAATGTCAATTGGGTTTGTCAGTACTCCCACGTGTCTACATTTCAGTTTTGTGGGTCCTAATAAAGGGAAAGCTCTTGTCAAAATGCCACATTTTTGATCCAAATGTCTCCAGACTTCCATAAATGGATTTTAAACAAATCTCCAGGACAAGACCGAAATATTAGGTAAAAACAAGAATCCAATCAATAATATGCTTCAAATATTTTATTATTCTAATAACCAATAAATATCAGACACTTAAAGCAAAATAACACCCTTCATCAACATGGTTTTTAACATCCTCCCAGTCCTTGATATTCAAATACCACAAACTTCAAATGACTAAATCTTTCAATTGGGTCAAAAATAAAATTGTCTTTCATTGGATTTGTGTGTTGATGTCCATAGATTTAGATAATGCCAGTTTCGAGACAATTGAATTTGTGATTCACTGAGAAAAATTAAACTAATCTTTTGAAACAAAAAAGTAATCCGATACAAAACAACACATCAGGTTAAACAAATTTAATACTTTATTTTGACCCAATATCAGAGAGATTTAGCTCCTTTCAGACAGCTAATAGACAAGCACACCAATTCTTTTTTTAAACCCTATTTTTAATAAAATATGTTAAGTTTATACACAGAATAATACAGCATTTTATGATAAAGAATAGAGGTTTTTTTTTTATATCTTCAACCCTGAAGAAAAATACTATAATATTAAAGGATGTATTTACAAACTGACATCAATATCTCATAAGTGCTTTAATTATAAATAACACAACCCAAAGCAAAGTTCTAAAATATCTGACATGTCATAAGCGATGAATACCTGGTATGATGATGGTGGGATATACAAATTAAGGAAAAATGGGTTAGTGCTAAATGATAAGGCCAGCTCAATTTTTCAACAATCACATGACAAAAATTGAGCTGGCCTTAACAAATACATTTAGCCCATGAAATGGACTGTATTTAGTCTACTTCCTGGTATCACTAATTATAAGCCAATTAAAATGATCATAATAATTGTCAATTTCAGACATTCAGTCACAATTCAAACATTTAAGTTCTTAACATGCTGACGAAAGTCAATTTATCAATTTCTGAGAGAAAAAAAAAGTGTAGACAACATGATTTTTCTGGAATTCTTAAAATATTGTTCTTTACAAGAGATGAAAACACTTTTCGAACTAGCTGAATAAATTAACAAATTACAAGGCTACCGATAAAACATACTTCTAGTTAGTCTCTGGTATTCTGATATGGACAAGGCCCTATATCAACTAAATGTCTGATACATTTCTCTACCACAAATGACAAACAATCACTAAAATACAAGAATTATTAATTATAAAGATCACTATTGGGTATAAACTTTACATCCAAAAATATACAGGTATACAAATACATAATAAGTCAAATAATCTTTTCTGTAATCATGAAAATTTCAAATCACAGCAAAAAGAAAATTATACAATAATAAAACCACTACCCAATGTCTGCAGTTATAAATAGAACCAGTGGTTGCCAGGCAAGATATGCCCACATTTTGCAAGAGATTGATAGAAAACAAGCTAAAAACAAAAGTGAAAGATATGGTCTAAAATGTGCAAATATCGAAAGGGATGGAGATCTTGGGGACATAAACATATATTTTAAGTTTCATCAAAATCGGATAAAAATTGTGACCTCTAGTAAAGGGTCCACAACCTTCGTATTACGTACTTTCACACAATTTGTAAACAAAGAGAGGGGAGTTTCGTTTGGATTTTCCCGAAATTAGAATTCAACCTTCATTATGGTGGAATATTGATATATTTAAAGGTTTTTTTAAAATCGGATAAAAAATTGTGACCTCTAGAGAATCTACAAGCTAAAAAACATGATTTTTCTTACAATCAGGGGCCATAATCCAGGAAGTGACAGTATGATATGCGCAAATAGCAAAATGAACTGAGATCTTTGGGACATAAACATATACATGTATTTTAAGTTTCATCAAAATCTGGTAACAATTGTGACTTCTAGAGGGTCCACAACCTTGGTATGACATACTTTTACACTATTTGCATACAAGGAGCCGCCATTTTGTCAGGCAGTTTTGGTCCGATTTTCATGAAATTGGAACTCAACACTGTCATTAGAGTGTTAATGGTGATAATTAAATGGGGTTTTTTTAAAATTGGATAAAAATTGTGGACGGACGGATGGACAGGGGCAACGGCATAATACATCCACATTAAAATGTGGGTGTATAAAAAGTAATGATAAAAGATGATTAATCAGATGGATAAAAAAAACCTCAAAGGAGACTAAAAAAAAAATCAAAAAAACTATATATTAGGTTTTTGTTTTTGTGTTTTTATTTTGTCAAAGGATCACTTACTGGACTAAATGACTTATCAAAAACATTATGTTTCAAAGCACCACATTACATCTGATCAAGCTGTTGAATGTATGATTATCCAAGTTTCAGTAACATTTATCCGGGTTGCATTGATAATACCATATATTTCCGATTCATAAGTTTTCTTCCTGTAATCCGGAGAAAACCTTTATGTGTGGTTATTTATAAGATCATTTTTATTCTTTGAAACAAAACCAGGTCATGTTACTCTTTTTAAGCGAGGCAGGGGTACATGTATCTGGGAACCAGAATATTTATATAAATGTCCTTAGAATTCACTAAAAATGGGTATCCCCCACATTCATTCCACAAAAATAATTTCTTCACAGAAAATGCAGAGAATGATTGACATGTTCTTTAATGAAAGAATGTACATTCAATGATTACACTAATCTGAAACACTGTATTCAATTTAATAAAACATGCCCTTTATCTTGATGTCATTGCATTACACCGGGCACATCACCATTTCTTTGAAAAGGACATTGACAATAACACTCAGAAGCAACACTCCTGGATAACATGGTTCAGTTCTTCTCTTGACACTATTAATTAGTAGGAGACATCTAGATGAACAACTCCCTCAAGCTTACAAAGTTGCTGAATATAAAAAAAATGGATACAAAATATTATTTAAAGTAACAATATATCATGTATATATAGATTAAAATGCATTGGTGACTTTTTTTATCATCTATTTTTGAATTAATATAGCAAGAACAGACAACTCTTTATTAAACTCTTTAACTAATGTATCTTTAAAACAAGATTTACATCATTTGACAAATGACAATATTACGGTAACCAGTTTAGGTCATTTTACAAAGAGTTGGGGAAACAGTCAATTGGCAAATGAAATGAAATGGAGTTTAACATCCTACTCCAAACTGGGCTAATGAAGACAGGCATATGCCATACAGTGTGCTATGAGGGAAATTTTGCCCGAACAGCGGAACTACGGCCTACTCTTATATCGAATTCTAACTGTCAAGGGATCTTTTACATGCACGCCAGTGTGTACACAGGACCTCGGTTTTTTGTCCCATCCGAACGACTAGACAGCTGTCCTTGTTCGGCCCTCCGTCCTGCATCACTGACAAGGGGGAACCACGCCGGAAAATCTGGATGAACTTTCTCGGCCAATGCAGGGATCGAACACCAGACCTCCAGGCTAGCGAGTCAGCGTCTTACCCACTTAGCCACTGTGACCCACCCATCAGTTGGGAATATTTACCACAATTACTGCTAAATATACCAGATGGTGTTAAACATGCATACTTACATTCTATTTTTTCTAATTCAGCTAAAAACTGAGATTCCAGAAAAGAATCTTCACAAAGAAATGAGTCATTTTCATCGATAAACAAATCTGAAATAAACAAATAGAAATGTATCTGCTTGTTAATTAACAGTATTGTTAAAGTTGGATCGCTAAAAGAAATATCATTCCAGAAAAATATGTTCAGTATTAACAAGGATATGATGAATTGAAAACCACATTCTGCAGACGATATATAAACAGTTCTACCTACAATCTTTGATGGACCTCTTTTTAATCTAAGCCAGCATCTACTGTTTACGAATAATGTATTGTTAGATAATCAATTTGTCCGAAAAAGACAAAGGATGATTTATGGTAATACAATAAAATAAATTTAATAAATACTTTTGCCAAGAAAATACATGTAATTTATTTTGAAAAACATTATATTCAAAATAACCTACACTCACTGATCCACTTGAGAGTAAGGTGTATACACCACATTAAATATATTTCCCCGAAGGTTGCCAAATTCCTTTAAAACAACAACAAGCAGTTGCCATGCAAGATACACCCACATTTTGCAAGATGGATAGACAACAGTAACGATCTGATATGCACTATTATCGGAAGGAACCAAGATCTTTGGGACATGAACCTATATTTCAAATTTTGTCAAAATTGGATAAAAACCGTGACCTGCAGAGTATCCACAATCAAAATGTGAACAGACACATGGACGGACATGGGCAACAACAATATTATACATCCACATGAAAATGTGGGTGTCTAAAAAGTATGTACAACAGTACAACTCAATGACAGCAAAGCAGATTTGTAACAAGATTTTCCCTACAATATAATTTGAACATGTCCTTTGCAACTGTAATTTAAATCTGAATTTTCTGGCAGTACTCTAAAAGCACTCATGTCTATTTAAGAAGTATGTCAGCTTAAAGACTAATTAACCAGCGGCTGCCAAGCAGGATATGCACACATTTTGCAAGAGATGGATAGAGAACAAGCTAAACAAAAAATAATTTTTTGAACTATCAAGAGCAGTAATTCAGGAAGTTATGATCCGATATGCGTGAATATCGACAGGAAGCAAGATCTTTGGGTTATAAAGATATATTTCAAGTTTCATCAAAATCAGATCAAAATTGTGACTTCTAGAGGGTCAACAACATTGATATACCATATATTTACACTATTTGCATACGATGGGTGGCCATTTTGTCCGTCAGTTTTGGTCCGATTTTCACGAATTTCAAACTCAACCATCATTAGGATGTAACGGTTATATACTAAAATAGTTTTTCAAATCGAATAAAAATTATGACCTCTAATGGGACCACAAGCTAAAAACGCGATTTTTCGGTACCATCAAGGGCCATAATTTAGGAAGTTACGATCCGATATACGCAAATATCAAAAGGAACCAAGATGTGTGGATTATAAACATGTATTTCAAGTTTGGTCTGATTTTCAACCAGCAATACTTTGTAACGGTGATATATTGGAATGTTTTTTTAAATCAGATAATAATTGTGACCTCCAGAGGGACCACAAGCTAAAAAAGGCGATTTTTCGTACAATCAGGGGCCATAATTCAGGAAGTTACTATCCGATATGCGCAAATATCGAAAGGAACCAAAATATTTGGGTTATAAATATGCATTTCAAGTTTCATCAAAATCGGTTCAAATTAGTGACCTCTATAGGGTCCACAAGCTAAAATCATGATTTTTCGTACAATCAGGGGCCATAATCCATGAAGTTTCGCTCCAATACATGCCAAGATCTTTTGGAGTTAAACCTATATTTTAAGTTTCGTCAAAATCGGATAAGAATTGTGACCTGTAGGGTGTCCACAAACAATTGTGGACGGACGGACACAGGCCACGACAATATACGTCCACATGAAAATGTGGGCGTATAAAAATACACAAACAATTATTTGTACATATACCTTGACTTTGTGATACAGCACTGTCTAATGGCTCAGATGAACCATTAGAATTCAAACGCACTGGTTGGTATGAATAATTGGCTGGCTTCATATTTGTAAATCTTGAAGAATTTGATAGATCTTTATTTTTATTACTTTCAAGAAGATTCTTTGAGTTTGTAGCCTGTGTTCCAGTTCCATTTACTGTTTGTTTTGGAGATCTTTTCTTGAAGGCGTATTTCTTATTTGATGGGGTTGTATTGATGACTTCTGTGTTATTACAGATTTTTGATATCGGTACATTTCCATTCAGTTTAATGATTTTAGGTACATTTGTTAATGCCACTGTCTTTTTCATAGCATTGCCACTCCTGGAGAAAGGTGGCTGGGGGGGTTCTGCAACAGATGAACTATTTTGACCTCGAGTTTGAAAAGTTGGTTTTAAAATTTGATTTGACTTAGACACCTGCAGTTCCTTATTATCACTAATTAAAACGTTGTCCAAATTCTGGGCATCTATTTCTGAGAATGAAAAATCGTCTTCTTCAAACATGAAAGAAAGTGTTTTGTCTATAATTTCATTTGTTTGACATTTCTTTATATCTGTTGATTTTATTGTTTCTAGCGTTTCTTGATGCGTTGACTGACTCTCCAAAATTTCATCAGGTTCCGCCAACTGGCGCAAGATCTCATCAGATATACTTGTATCCAATAAATCATCTCTATTTTCAGCTCTAAAATTTTTAAGAGGTGTTACAGTTTCTTTTATTTTGACGAGTCTCTTAGTTTGCAGTAAACCAGTTTGGTTGATCTTTATTTCTTCGTTTATTTTTGGCATGACATGAACTGAATCGTTTGTTATAATAGATCTACTAGAATTAATTGGGTTATTAGTTTCTGAATTTAGTTGTCTTATAGGTTTGACCACTTTGGGATTAATAGCCGTGGAAGGCAACATGGTAAATGACCTTACAGGTTTGATAATTTTACCATTGTCATCTTTAATGCTACGTACAAATGTTGACTTTCTTGTTGGGGTACTTGTCAATCTGCTAGAGCATGCATCAAAACTATGATGCTTCCTAAAAGGACTCTTATTTGAAGTTGTAAATTTGTCAAGAGAGTTTCCATTTATTTGTGAACTGTTAAATTCACATGATGGACTTCCGGAAAAACTACTGTGTTTACGAAATGTACATTTGGAAGAACCATAAAAACTGTTACGTGACAAAACAGCTGATTGTTCGGAACTTTCTATTTCAGCACTATATGTATTTTGACTGTTACTATGTCTGTTATTGCCACTAGTTTTAAACCCAGGTGGAATGCTAGATGTCTGCTGAACTTTCACATAATTTTCATTGTATGTTTGGACATCATTATTGGAATTGGTACCTGTCTTTACAACAGATACAATCTGAGATTTTCCACTAGAGAAACATCTGTTATTGTTATTTGAATCAGATGAAGTCACAACACTTGACGAGATTTTGGAATCTTTTGAGGATTTCCCACTCAAGCCTATACTTTCTCGCTTCCTTTTACTACCAGTACATAGTTCAGCCAGTCTTTCCAAAGGCATTTGTGAAGCTGCAAGAATAAAGGAGTCATCGTTGAACAAATCATCATCACTCCATGTGTCATCAGCTTCCTTCGCTGGTGTTGTACCTGTACAACGAACCACACCTGTAGGCAATAGTTGATCTTCATCAGAAAACAAATGATCATACTGGTCATCGATAGAATTCTTTTTGCTCTCATTTTTTGCACTAAAGAAAAAATAATAATAATAATAATAATGATAATAATAATAAATGAAATGAAATGAAATGGGATTTAACGTCCTACTGTTCTGCTCCGAAGATAATAATAATACATGCACATATCAAGTATAATAATATATTATAATCTTTTAGAGGCATTTAGTAACTGGATAGAGCACTATACTATAACACATACTTATTTGGGCGACGTTTCAAAGAGTATTCTCTGAGCATTATCAAGCTAATACAGTAATACAATAATGTGAGGCAAATATACAGAAATGAAATGAAATGGGGTTTAACGTCCTACTGTTCTGCTCCTAAACTGGGCTAATGAAGACGGGCATACTCCATACAGTGTGCTATGAGGGACATTTTGCCCAGGCAGCGGCGCTACGGCCTACTCTTATATTGAATTCCAACTGCCAAGGGATCTTTTACGTGCACGCTAATATGTACACGGGACCTCGGATTTCGTCCCATCCGAACGTCCCATCCTTGCCAGGCCCTCCGTCCTGCATCACTGGATGAACTTAAAGGAGCTAAATCGCTAATATTTTGGACCTAGAAATTGGCACAAATGGGTCGCAACACATATAATAATGTAATATGAATTTATATAAACTGTTTTACATTCAATTGTGTCCGTTTTACTGTGAATTGTCAT